TTCACCGAGATGGTTCCAGCAGCTTCTCCTGGCTGCTGACGTCACGGTCACTCCGGAGTCGCTGATTGGTCGGCGGAGAGGGAGGCTGGAACTCTCGCGAATGTTCCTGGACTGAGCTGGATCCTCATTGGCTGAAACAGCAGAGAAGACTCGGGAAAGTTCGGGAAGGTTGCTAGGCAATCCCTGGTAGCTTGGTGAGGACCGCGCTGTGATTGGCTGACAAGTTCTCTGGCTCCAGCCCTGAGCAGTATATATAGAGGATGCTTTCAGCAGGCAGAGCAGTTACCTGAGAACAAGAGAGAGAGAGAGAGAGCGCAAATACTGAGAGACAGCCATCACTGAGAGAGAGAGACAGCCATCACTGAGAGACAGCCAGCACTGAGAGACAGCCAGCCAGCACTGAGAGAGAGACAGCCAGCACTGAGAGACAGCCATCACTGAGAGAGACAGCCAGCACTGAGAGACAGCCATCACTGAGAGAGACAGCCATCACTGAGAGAGACAGCCAGCACTGAGAGAGCAGATACTGAGAGACAGCCAGCACTGAGAGAGACAGCCAGCACTGAGCGAGACAGCCAGCACCGAGACCAACAGAACTCGCACTCTATACACAACAAGAGAACCTCCAGAACTCACACTCTATACACAGCAGAGAGAGAACATGGCTGCTAAAGGAGTTGCTATTGGTATTGACCTGGGTACCACCTACTCCTGTGTGGGAGTTTTCCAGCATGGCAAGGTGGAAATCATCGCTAACGACCAGGGAAACCGCACCACCCCCAGCTATGTGGCTTTTACTGACACCGAGAGACTGATGGGAGATGCTGCCAAGAACCAGGTGGCGCTGAACCCCCAGAATACGGTCTTTGATGCCAAGAGACTGATTGGCAGAAAGTTCAATGAACCCGTCGTACAATCAGACATGAAGCACTGGCCCTTCCAGGTAGTGAGCGATGGGGGAAAGCCCAAGGTGAAGGTGGAGTACAAAGGTGAGGAGAAAACCTTCTTCCCTGAGGAGATCTCCTCCATGGTGCTGCTGAAGATGAAGGAGACAGCTGAAGCCTATCTGGGACATCCAGTTACCAATGCTGTCATCACTGTGCCAGCTTACTTCAATGACTCCCAGCGCCAGGCTACCAAAGATGCTGGTGTTATTGCTGGACTGAATGTACTGAGAATCATCAATGAGCCTACAGCTGCTGCTATCGCCTATGGCCTGGACAAGGGAGCCCGTGGTGAAAGAAACGTCCTGATATTTGATTTGGGTGGTGGCACCTTTGATGTTTCCATCCTCACTATTGACGATGGTATATTTGAAGTAAAAGCCACAGCAGGTGACACTCATCTGGGTGGAGAGGACTTTGACAATCGCATGGTTAACCACTTTGTGGAGGAATTCAAACGCAAGCACAAGAAGGACATCACCCAGAACAAAAGAGCACTGAGGAGACTGAGAACGGCGTGTGAGCGAGCCAAGCGTACCCTGTCCTCCAGCACCCAGGCAAGCATTGAAATAGATTCTCTGTATGAGGGCATTGACTTCTACACCTCCATCACTAGGGCCCGCTTTGAGGAACTTTGCTCAGACCTGTTCAGGGGAACTCTGGAGCCTGTAGAAAAGGCCCTGAGAGATGCCAAGCTGGACAAATCTCAGATCCATGAAATTGTCCTAGTGGGAGGCTCCACTCGTATCCCAAAAGTGCAAAAACTGCTGCAAGATTTCTTTAATGGACGGGATCTGAACAAAAGCATTAATCCAGATGAAGCCGTAGCCTATGGAGCTGCTGTCCAGGCTGCCATCCTGATGGGAGACAAGTCAGAAAACGTGCAGGACTTGCTTCTACTTGACGTGGCCCCTCTCTCCCTGGGCTTGGAGACAGCTGGAGGGGTCATGACTGTCCTCATCAAACGCAATACAACCATCCCTACCAAGCAGACTCAGACCTTCACCACATATTCTGACAACCAACCTGGAGTGCTCATTCAAGTGTATGAAGGTGAGAGGGCTATGACCAAAGACAATAATCTCTTGGGCAAGTTTGAGTTAGGTGGCATCCCACCCGCTCCTCGTGGAGTACCACAAATTGAGGTCACCTTTGACATCGATGCCAACGGAATTCTCAATGTGTCGGCTGTGGACAAGAGCTCCGGCAAACAGAATAAAATCACTATCACCAATGACAAAGGCCGCCTCAGCAAAGAAGATATTGAGAAGATGGTTCAGGATGCTGAGAAGTACAAGGCTGACGATGATGTCCAAAGGGAGAAGATCTCTGCCAAGAACTCCCTGGAGTCCTACGCCTACAACATTAAGAGCATGGTGGAGGATGAGAACATGAAGGGCAAACTCAGTGAAGACGACAAGAAGACCATCTCTGAGAAGTGTCAGCAGATCATCTCCTGGCTGGAGAGCAACCAGCTTGCAGAGAAAGAGGAATATACCCATCAGCAGAAGGAGCTGGAGAAGGTGTGTCAGCCCATTATAGCCAAACTGTACCAGGGTGGCATGCCAAGTGGAATGCCAGGATCCAGCTGTGGAGCTCAGGCAAGACAGGGTAGCACTTCGGGTCCCACAATTGAAGAGGTTGATTAAGAACTTGTGCATTTCGTTTTACGTCAAATGGACACTAAAGACTTGTTAATATATTGTTTCAAAGACTGTAATATCCAGAGAGTGAAACAAAGAACTCAAGTCTGGGACTGTGACTGTGTATTTTGTTTATATGGACTTTACAGAGGAGTATCACAGAAGAGTCTTTAAATAATTTAATTTTTTTTTTTATATGAACTCATGATTAATAAAGGAATAATATAGTGATATTAAAACAAAATAAATCTGACAAAATAGTTTGTAAGACATAAATGTCGGTTCTGTTTATATATACATTTTTTTTTATTGTTTTTCAATGCCATGTGAAATAATATTTATTGCACTAGTAGTTTATTTATTTTTTTATAATAAAGTTAATGAAACTTGTAAATCTGTGTCTCTTTCATTTGAATATTATTTTACCTTGTGTTGTACTTTCAGCTTGGGTAATAAGGTTTTTCTATTGGTAGCTCACTATTTAAAGATGAATCCGATGAATTTAAATATATAGGATTACTTAGTTAACCCCTTCAGGAGGGAGTCAATAGTGCACGTTCTGATCAAAACAAAACGTAAACAAAAACTGGAATTTGCGCTTTATGTCTGTTCAACCGTTATTCACCTTTTTCATATTAAATGCACCCACACTTATTATATATCATTTTGTTCAGGAGAAACAGGGCTTTAATTTCATATCAAATATTTAGATATGAAACATAATTAATTATGAATAAAATAAAAAAAACTGTGAGAAATTTATAGTTCCGCCTCACATTTTAGCTGTAAATGTCATAATACTGTTTTACTGGAAAAAAATGCACATATTTGTAATCAGTGATGTCTCACGAGTACAACAGTACCCCCCATTAACAGGTTTTATGGTGTTTTGGAAAGTTACAGGGTCAAATATAGAACGTTCCATTTTTAAATTGAAATTTGCCAGATTAGTAATGTTACCTCTGAGACGGTGTGGTAGCCCAGGAATGAGAATTACCCCATAATGGCATACCATTTGAAAAGGTAGACAAGCGAAGGTATTGAAAGTGGGGTATGTTTAGTCTTTTTTAGTAGCCACTTATTCACAAACACTGGCCAAAGTTAGAGTTCATATTTATTTTTCTGTGAAAAAAGCAAAAGACTAATATTTGGCCAGTGTTTGTGACTAAGTGGCTAGTAAGAAAGACTGGACATACCCCACTTGCAATACCTCGGGTTGTCTACTTTTTCAAATGTTATGCCATCATGGGGGTAATTCTCATTCCTGGGCTACCATACGCTCTCAAAGGCAACATAACCAATCTGGCAAATTTCAATGTCAAAAAAATTAAATGCAAGCCTTATATGTGACTCTCTAACTTTCCAAAACACCATAAAACCTGTACATGGGGGGTACTGTTATTCTTGCGAGACTTCGCTGAACACAAATATTAGTGTTTTAAAACAGTAAAACATATTACAACAATAATATAGTCCATACAAGTGCCGTTCGTTTGTAAAATATCATCGTAATACAATTTACCAGTTTGAAACACTAATATTTGAGTTCAGCGAAGTCTCCCGAGTAAAACAGTAACCCCTATGTACAGGTTTTAGAATGTCTTGGAGAGTTACAGGGTCAAATATAGTGCTTGCGAATTAAATTCTCTGCACTTTCTCCCTGTGTTGTCAGGCATGTCAATCAAATTTTAATTAATCAAATCACATAATTATGTTAAAAGATTACTTAAATATACACGTAGAATTTTAATATATATGCATTTTTATAGGTATTTAAATTCTACGTGTATACTAATGTAATCTTTTATGTAATTATATGTATTTATCTATATATATATTTGCGGTTATTTGTATTTTATATATATATAGATATATATAGAATGTCATTCTAAGTGTATTTTGTTACCAATATATATATATTAATAACAAAATACAGTTAGAATGAAATTACATATGAATATATAATTTATATTAAATTTTGTTTCAATATTTTATTTATTTATTTTATCATTTTATTTATTTATTATTGTAATTATACGTATATATATATATATAATATATGTGTATATATCTATTATATATATAATATATATACATATTATATATATATATGTAACGTCATTCTAAGTGTATTTTAATATTAATATATATACTAATATATATATAAATTACACTTTGTATGACGTTACATATATATAATATGTATATATATTATATATATAATATATATACATATATTATATATATCTATAAATACATTTAATTTATTTTATAACCTGTTTAATATATTTTTTTTACACTTTCCACCAGCAGGGGGACTGTCTGATATTTCAGACAGTCCCCCTGCTGGCAGATCCATAGCCAGCTATAGGGGGCCATGTGATCGCTCTTTGAGAGCGATCACATGGCCCCCAGGGGCCTCATTCGCCGGGGGAGGGCTGCCTGGGCTGTCAGGCAGCCCTCCTGAAGAGGATCGCGGCGGAAGTAAGTAAATATTACCTCGCCTGGGCTTAAGCCATTATGGCGTTCTATGCCGCCGCAACGGCTTTAAAGCCGCGATGGCATAGAACGCCGTAACGGGGTTAAGGGGTTAAATGTGAGTATTCTAGAGTTCAAAGTTAAGACCAAAGTAATCAAACTAAAAAATATTTGCTTTGGATAATTTTCCCAGTTTGGCTATTTTGACTTTAAATGTGGAATTCTCTTTGAATTTGAGGCAATTCACATTTTATTGAATAACTACACATATGGGATCATCATAATTTTGGAAAAACTTACATTACACAGAGCTGTAATCAGGGGCATAACAAAGTTCCCCTGTTCCTGGGTACTACAATATAAAAAGGCCCCTTTTGTCCATTGGCATCTCCAGGATTCAGATTTAGGAAGGGCACATGGGGGGCCAGAGACAAAAGTAGGGGGGCAATTATAAAATGTGTAGATATATAAACATACACACACATATTTAGATATATACATACACACACTTGGAAAACAGTTATACATTGTAAACAAAATCAGATTTCTTTATTTCCAGCAAACTCAGTAAAATCTGTAAATTTCATTCTGAGAAACAGTATAAATCTGGGCTTTATATTCTTGGATTACTGAAATGTACTGGCAAAGCAACTTGAGCAATATGGCCATTCTCTCAGCAAGGTTCTTTTGCTTTCTGAATTTTGCATCCCAGTTAAGATACCCCGAGGGACATTTCTCCAACCAGCTAACAGCCATAGGGGCAGCATCAGTGGCAGATCCAGAGCCTGATCTCTGTAGGGGCACTTGTAGATTATTTAAATAAATAATCTATGCACCATAACCACTACAGCTCTGTAGTCAAACTGTTTAAGTACAGTTTGACAAATTACCTGGGGTCTGCTGGGATATGCGCCTGTAGTAGGGCATAGGAGCAGTGATGTGTGGGGGGGGTGCAGTGTGGGTGTGTGGGGCAATTTGTGTATGGGGGGGCAGTGTGTGAATGTGTATGGTGTGTGTGTGAGGGCTGTGTGTATGGGGGGCAGTGTATGTATGTATGTGGGGGAAGTGTGTGTAGGGTGCAGTTTGTGAATGTGTGGTGAGGAGGGTAGGGAGGCTTTTTTATAATGTGTTTTTTTTAAATTTAATAAAAATAAATATACCTTAAACCCCCCCTCCCTTCTTACCTTTACTGAGGGAGGAGGGGGGACATTTCTTGATCCCTGGTGGTCCCCCATAGCTCCAGGGCTAGAGTTCACTCTCGCAAGATCCGGAGAGTTTTCGTGGTAACCACGGCAACGCTCCGTGTTCGCGAGAGAAGGACCCGGCGGAGCTGAATGCTGAGCTCCTAGGTCATCTCTCACTTCCTCCCATCCGGTCCGTGAAGGCACATTGCAGGGCTGGCACTTGGACAGTGCCAGTCCTGCATTAGCTGGTGGGGGGGTGAGGGGGGGCTACTGTAGTGGTTTTAGTGACCATTTGAGAATGTTTTTACAACTTACCTGGGGTCTGCTGTAGCCGGTCACTTACTCTGCAGTCCAGAAGCTACAGCACTGAGCTAAGTTTGTTGGTGCAGGACTTACCTTAGTGGCTTCAAGTGCTCAGCTGATACCCCTAGCCAACCTGCAGCTCTTGTATGGCAGGGTTAGCTTAGGGTAGCTGCCAGAAGCCCCTTGCAGGATGTCAGCTTACCAACGGATTCCAGGTAAGTTGGGAATGGTTTGACTACTTACACTGTGAGTGAGCTAGGCCGCTCAAATGACCATAACCACAAAAGCTCACTTTAGTGTGTATTGTGCCTGAAGTGTTTTAAAGTTGTTTTCACTAAATTAGGCAAGCTGTAACTATCACTGAGTTAGGGAATGTCCAAATCGACTCTTTGTTCCGTATTTCGGTGTTTGGCTCATTAGACTTTGCTGTTTAGTTAATAAGCCCCTTAAAGGGACACTGTAGTCACTATAACCACTTTGTCTCTTTGAATTGGTTATAGTGCCTGGAGTGCCCTGGCACTGTCCCTCCATTCAGTGTTACTGCACAAACATGGTGCGTGCCACAAAATAAGAGTCCCTGGCCACCCACAGTCCGGCCCCTTCTGTATGTGTAGCTAAGGCAGAGATTACACACTTCCTTGTTGTCATACCCATTCATACTGTCAGTTGGAGCTCTGACAGGTTAAAAGCAGTCAGCTGACACTCTCTGCCAATCACAGCTGCCCATTGCGGCTAAGGGTAATACTTCCTTATTAGCCAAAGCAGCACAGAGGGGATGGATTGCCGGGGACTCTTGTTTAGCATTAAAACATTAAAAACTGTTTAATGCTGAAAGAAATGATGGCACCAGGGACTCCATACACTATAACCAGCTTAATGAGATGAAGCAGATACAGTGCCTACATTGTCCCTTTAATTCTTCTTTCTGCCGTCATCAATGGGTTGGACAACTTGAGGAATGACTTTTTAGAGCAGTGAGTTTATAGGTCAAAATAGCAGCATTTTAAAACCAAAATTTTCACTTCTGCTGTTGTGGAGATTTTTTCCAACTTCTGGAAAACCTTTACTAAACTTTGCAAGTTGGCTTTCCAATGCATAACACATTTCTTTGTTTATTGTGGCACACAGTAAACGTGTTATACAATGGTACAGTTGTGAAACTTTCAGTAAGAGCGACAATGCAGCAGCACGAAAGTCTGCAAGGAGGTGTAGAGTGCACAGACCTACTGAAGCGTAATGCGTAGACAAAGTCACTATAAGAATAAACTTCCACTTTTATAAAACAATTAGATAAGGTAAATGCCTGGAATTACTTACTATGCTTTATATTGACTTGACCCCGGCAAGCAATTGCTTTGGGCCCTCCTGAACCCCATAATTTTAGCATTTTAATAAAGGGGTGTTGTCTTTTAAATGCAAATGTACAGTTCTGTGTAGTATTGTTATTTGAGTGAAGAGGTGTGTTTGTATATAATTTTGGAGTTTGAATTCAGTGTCTTTGTATGTAATGTTTGTGTTTGCATGAGTGTGTTTGCATGTTGTATTTGATTGCTGGGATGTATGCACATACTAACACAGATATACATACACATTAAAAGCAGATACACACATAATCACACTGATGCATGCACACACCTTGACACACAGATACATACACCGACACAAAGACACTGGTATATACACACATACCTAGCACATACACACACACACACTCAGATACACGCGTACAAACACTAGCACATCCACACACAGAGATACACACTGACACAGATACATATACAGGTATACATGCAGGGGTGTATCTATATGCAGTGTTGGAGTGCTGAGATGTATACATTGCCACATACACACAGATGCCTACTTACCCAAACACTGAGATACACACAGGTACTCACACAGTGGTGTATTTGTGTGCAGTGGTGTTGTTGGAATGCGGGGGTATATTTGTGTGCAGTATTGGCATTATAATGCTGTGATGTATGAATTGCCACATGCATAGATACACACTGACACAAATACACACACACACACACACACAAGTACAGATACACAGACCTACAGGTACACATAAACACTGACACACAAGTACACAGACACAGGTATACATTCACACATACACAGGCACACATAAACACTGACACACTGGTACACATACAGCCAGATACACACACTGACAAACACAAGGCCAGATACATATAAAGTCATATACACACACTGACAAAAACTCTGCCAGATGTACACTACCAGACACACACACACACACAAACACACACTGCCAGTCACACACACACACACACACACACACAGTCAGGTATACACACTGACACAGACCCAGATACACAACATAAATAAGAATCAATCTTCATATTAGACCCACCCTCCTGTCTCATTACCTTATGGGTACAGAAGGGTGGCTTCCCTGGGCTATTAGAGCTGGATGGCCAAGGCTGATGGGAGTCTGAGGAACCAGGCTTTCTCAGTCTCTCCTCCACTTCCTCCTTTTCTGTATGTGCCTCCTATTCCACAGCCACAGATAGGGGCCCGGTCCAGAGCACTATTAAAGGGCTGGGACCCCTGATTACCTCAGGTGTGGCTGCCCACCGGGACAATTCTCAGGATTCCGGTGGGCTTGTCAGTATCCTGTTTGTGGGCAGGGGGCCCAGTTACTTCTGGGGGGCCCAAGGCAGCTGCCCCGTTTGCTCCTCATTAAAGACAGCCCCGAGGCTAAGTATTAGTAGCAAAACTGAGATTAAAACAGGCTAGATATGCAGGATATTAATACCATTGACATCCCCCTCTATCTCAGCGCAAAATAAAGCAACGACATAACGAGATACAGAGATAAAATAAAAACAAGAACAATGCTGTCTGTACTGATTATAAGCCAATCAATGCGGAAAACATTAACTATCATGCAAGAGACAGTCAGGCAGGCCATTAGGTGGCTTCCAACAGTGGGCCCAAGATGATAAGTCTCCCATCAGCCAATGCCCCGACTCAGGAGCAGAAAGAGGTAGGTGAGCAGCACTTTGAGACAGGAGCCAAGTAGAGCACACCCCCAGCCCATTATGAGGGCCTGCATCACTCATCCACGAACTCGGGGGCTTGTTGGTGAGTCCAATTTCTTCCTTGTTCGGAAACAGCAAAAGCTTCTGGTGGACTGTAACTGCCAGATGTGCTGGTTCTTCCGTGTTGGTGGTGGATGCGGCGGGAGTGTATCCTATCTGGCCTTCAGCCCAGGTAGGCCCAAGTTGGGAGACTCTGGTGCTTGCAAGGAAGTTGCGCCCAGGGGAATCCCTCACCTCCCTCACCACTCTTCCTCTTGGGGTTGAGTCGGTATAGCAGGAAGACGAGCTTCCAACTTTGCCCAGAAGCTCTCAAATATCTCATTTAGGTGTGTTAGGATACCTTCAGTTGCACTCTGTTGGATGTTCAGAGGCTCTTGCACAGAAAGGGACTGCGCACCCGCCATCTTGAAGGGGTCCACTGCCGTATAAGCTTGGGCCAGTGCAGGTGCTCTGAGTCAGCACAGGTATGTGGAGCAAGTCAGTGGGGACCCGAATAACCCCCACCGGTCCAAAGGGGGGAGAGACAGCTATATACGGTGGTCGGCTCGGAGACCGGAGAACTGGGAGAGCGGCCGCCTCTCCTGAACTCAAACTAATGTAGGCCGCAGGACACGATCCAGTGCCTGGAAAGCATGTGTGAGGTATCCACTGGTGCTTGCTTAACAGGGTGTGTACTATTTGTGGACAGATTGGTTGAGTGGCCCCCGATTAGACCAAGATTATCGGTACCCAACTCTGGAGCTCTCATAGAGCACGTCTAGTCGGTTCAGCAGTCAAGCTCCACCCCCGCATCACACATTCCTATGTGGTTAGCAGACCCATAGGGTTCTCTGGTACATGTAAATATACACTAGGATATTTACTGAGGTTAAAATCCATCTATAAAATGTAAAATGTGGGTATTCAATAAAGATAATTTAAGGTCAACCTCTTTACTAGGAGCTCCATATTGTTGGTGTGTCTGAGTGTATAACAGAGCTCCACAGCAATAATACGCCCAGTAATGTGTCTGAGTGTATAACAGAGCTCCACAGCAATAATTCTCCTAGTAATGTGTCTGAGTGTATAACAGAGCTCCACAGCAATAATACTCCCAGTAATGTGTCTGAGTGCATAACAGAGCTCCACAGCAATAATACTCCCAGTAATGTGTCTGAATGTATAACAGAGCTCCACAGCAATAATACTCCCAGCAATGTGTCTGAGTGTATAACAGAGCCCCACAGCAATAATACTCCCAGTAATGTGTCTGAGTGTATAACAGAGCTCCACAGCAATAATACTCCCAGTAATGTGTCTGAGTGTATAACAGAGCTCCACAGCAATAATACTCCCAGTAATGTGTCTGAGTGTATAACAGAGCTCACAGCAATAATACTCCCAGTAATGTGTCTGAGTGTATAACAGAGCTCCACAGCAATAATACTCCCAGTAATGTGTCTGAGTGTATAACAGAGCTCCACAGCAATAATTCTCCTAGTAATGAGTCTGAGTGTATAACAGAGCTCCACAGCAATAATACTCCCAGTAATACATTGTGTATAACAGAGCTTCACAGCAATAATTCTCCCAGTAATGTGTCTGTGTGTATAACAGACCTCCACAGCAATAATACTCCCAGTAATGTGTCTGACTGTATAACAGAGCTCCACAGCAATAATTCTCCCAGTAATGTGTCTGACTGTATAACAGAGCTCCACAGCAATAATACTCCCAGTAATGTGTCTGAGTGTATAACAGAGCTCCACAGCAATAATTCTCCCAGTAATGTGTCTGAGTGTATAACAGAGCTCCACAGCAATACCCACAGCAATAATACTCCCGGTAATGTGTCTGAGTCTATAACAGAGCTCCACAATAATAATACTCCCAGTAACGTGTCTGAGTGTATAACAGAGCTCCACAGCAATAATACTCCCAGTAATGTGTCTGAGTGTATAACAGAGCTCCCCAGCAATAATACTCCCAGTAATGTGTCTGAGTGTATGACGGAGCTCCACAGCAATAATACTCCCAGTAATGTGTCTGAGTGTATAACAGAGCTCCACAGCAATAATACTCCCAGTAATGTGTCTGATTGTATAACAGAGCTCCACAGCAATAATACTCCCAGTAATGTGTCTGATTGTATAACAGAGCTCCACAGCAATAATACTCCCAGTAATGTGTCTGATTGTATAACAGAGCTCCACAGCAATAATACTCCCAGTAATGTGTCTGAGTGTATAACAGAGCTCCACAGCAATAATACTCCCAGTAATGTGTCTGAGGGTATAACAGAGCTCCACAGTAATAATACTTCCAGTAATTTGTGTGAGTGTATAACAGAGCTCCACAGCAATAATACTCCCAGTAATGTGCCTGAGTGTATAACAGAGCTCCACAGCAATAATACTCCCAGTAATGTGTCTGAGTGTATAACAGAGCTCCACAGCAATAATACTCCCAGTAATGAGTCTGAGTGTATAACAGAGCTCCGCAGCAATAATACTCCCAGTAATGTGTCTGAGTGTATAACAGAGCTCCACAGCAATAATACTCCCAGTAATGTGTCTGAGTGTATAACAGAGCTCCACAGCAATAATACTCCCAGTAATGTGTCTGACTGTATAACAGAGCTCCACAGCAATAATACTCCCAGTAATGCGTCTAACAGAGCCACAGCAATAATACTCCCAGTAATGTGTCTGAGTGTATAACAGAGCTCCACAGCAATAATACTCCCAGTAATGTGTCTGAGTGTATAACAGAGCTCCACAGCAATAATACTCCCAGTAATGTGTCTGAGTTATAACAGAGCTCCACAGCAATAATACTCCCAGTAATGTGTCTGAGTGTATAACAGAGCTGCACAGCAATAATTACTCCCAGTAATGTGTCTGAGTGTATAACAGAGCTCCACAGCAATAATACTCCCAGTAATGTGTCTGAGTGTATAACAGAGCTCCACAGCAATAATACTCCCAGTAATGTGTCTGAGTGTATAACAGAGCTCCACAGCAATAATACTCCCAGTAATGTGTCTGATTGTATAACAGAGCTCCACAGCAATAATACTCCCAGTAATGTGTCTGAGTGTATAACAGAGCTCCACAGCAATAATACTCCCAGTAATGTGTCTGAGGGTATAACAGAGCTCCACAGCAATAATACTCCCAGTAATGTGTCTGAGGGTATAACAGAGCTCCACAGCAATAATACTCCCAGTAATGTGTCTGAGTGTATAACAGAGCTCCACAGCAATAATACTCCCAGTAATGTGTCTGAGGGTATAACAGAGCTCCACAGTAATAATACTTCCAGTAATTTGTGTGAGTGTATAACAGAGCTCCACAGCAATAATACTCCCAGTAATGTGCCTGAGTGTATAACAGAGCTCCACAGCAATAATACTCCCAGTAATGTGTCTGAGTGTATAACAAAGCTCCACAGCAATAATACTCCCATTAATGCTTCTTTAAACTACATTAAATCTGTTTAGAAATCAGTCTGTAAATAAGATACATTGTTCCCATAATTATTATATTCCATGACAAACTTCTTTCATTATTTATTTTTCTCTCTGGTTTCATATTGTTAGACTCGTTTTAGCATTCTTTTGTGAGAGATTATGAATTTTCACCCTTATGGTTACTATTTTCTCAGAGAGGATTAAATAAAATGGTATTGTTTTGAGAATCTGATGGCTATTCCATACTATCATTCATTCACATTCATTCCTTCTATTGCGGAACGGGGAGAGAGAAGGAACCTTCAAATCTTCTTCTGCATAGTTTTTTTTTTATTATTGATTTAGATTTCAAACTTTTACTACTTTAGCCAATATTTGAGAGAATTAGATTTTTTTTAAAACCATTAATACCATTTCTTCCCGATATCCTCCCAGTCCCATTTTCATCAATGCTTGATGTTCTGTTTGTAAGAAAATATCTTTGAGATCCAAGTCCTCCTCTGTCCTCCATTTTCTTACCAGCTGAAGCTTGCTGGCTAACAGGATATGTACTATTACGTGTCGAGTTCCCACTAATAGCTTCGTCAGGCCAATATGAAATATTGCCATTGCTATGTTTGGTTGTATTTATGTATTTGCTATGATAGATATTAGAAGAAATAGTTTAGCCCAAAATGTTTCAATTTTTTTTACATTCCCACCATATGTGGGGGTTTGAGCCTTGTAATTCCAACCACCTCCAATATTTCCCATTTCCTCCATTGATATTTTTTTTATCTAACCGGGGTTAGATACCATCTAAAAAGAACTTTGAAGTATACTTCTAGTAAACCTATATTATGGGTAGCAGATTTAGTTAATTTAATCGCATCAATCCATTAATTTTCCTCTATATTAATATTAATGTCTTCCACCCATCTTTTTATAGGGGCCATCATATTAAACTCACTCTGATTACCTATGATATTGAAGGTTAGCTTGCTTAACTGTCTCCTCTTCCTTCCTAATAGCAGTTCTTCCATTCTTTTGTCTATTACAGGATTTTTATTTAACACTTCTTTTTCCTGGTAGTTTTTAATCCTCAAGTAATTGAATAATTTCTTGGATTGGAGATTGAATAACGATTTAATATCTTCAAACGATACGATCTTGTTCTCTTTAACTATTTGGTGTGTACATCTTATTCCCCCAACTCTCCAGTCTTTTAAATTAATACTCCCTATTCAGATTTCTACCACCTCGACCGGTATTCAGTTATTAATATTATATCTTGACAGATATTTATACCTAAGATTTTTCCAAGCCAAACTTAAATCTTTAATTATAGGATTACTAATAATTCTGTGGGGTTCTAACGACCAAAACATGAGTCTTACCTGCGAATTCACATTTTTCTAAATGTTGCCACTGTTGATGTTCTTCCCGTTTACACCATTTAACCATATGTGCCAACATAATTGCATCATGGATTTTAACCACATTTGGGGATCCTAGACCTCCCTCCCTTTCTCCTCTAGATATCACTTGAAATGCCACTATTGCTTTTTTTATGATTCCATATAAATTTATTGAATACTTTTTTGAAATTCCATTAAGATGTTCTTATCTACGGTAAAGGGAATTGATCTGAATATACAGGTTTTGGTGAGATGTAATATTTAATTATATTTATTCTTTCTATCCATGAAAACGTGATCCTTGCATATTTGTATTCCTAACGCTATAGTGTTTCTTTAATTAGCTAGAGTAGCCACAAGGCAGTATACTCGGTACAGACTGGAGCTCACAGTCTGGCCTAACTCTCTGACAGCTGCAAACCAATGATCTAGGTAAACTAAACTAATTTGGTACTATACCTATATGAGGGAATGGGGAAAATACCTATACTGGCTAATCATGGCAGCATCACTTATGGGTAGCTCCTCCCTTAGCAGTCACAGGACAGGAATTAATTAGATTAATTAATTAGACTGATAGGTATAAAGAGTCCCTCCTCCCCTTACACCTCAGTCTTTTTTCCTGTCCTTAGCAAGTTCTACAGGACTTTTTGCATTTTATTTTATGGCCACCTTCCTGCGTTTGTCGTAGGTTTGTTCCAAATGAAGTTCAGCCTCTCTTCATTTGAAGGGCCCCATAAACAGCCTGCATGAGCAGGACTAACTGGGTCAGGTTCAGTGTATGTACTGAACTGCTGCGTGGGATTTGGTGTTCTGAGGGAAACACGGCTACACGTAATCTGAGTATATGGGGTTGGTCCTCCTTAAAAATTCCCCTTGTTATCTGTCTTGCCCCTAGCAACTGGGGTCAAAATAATTCCCTCCCCTAGTGTTGGTGGCAGTGTTTGGGATCCATACTATGGGGGTCCTCCTGTGGGGGGATCCTGTTACTTACTTCTGTGCAGAGTGACCTTTCCTGGGGGTGGAGTCCCTCTCTGCTGCAGCAGGGGGTGCCCTCTGTTGTTGCCTGTAGGTTTCTGGTGAGGCCAGCGTGGTTGGCTGGAACGCGGTGTGTGTTCCAACAGGCGGAAGTGACGTCGTGGCCGGGTCGGAGATACCGGAAGTGACGTAATTTTAGGCCGCGAGCGTTTGGCACGCATAGCGTGCGTTCCAGCGGTTTGCACATGCGCGGAACTGCAGGTTTTCCTGATGCTATTTAAACCAGGGGATCCTGGTTCTCTGCCTGCTCGCTGAGTTAGCTGTTGAGTGAAGTTGTTCCTGTGTGCTCAGATCCTGCTCCTTGGCTCTGTGCTTGGCTGTCTGGAGTGGTTTCTGTCTTTATCAGGTAGGATTCCTTGTTGGGCATTTGCTGGTCACTTTGCTGCTGTCTTCTTTCTAAGAAAGTCATCTATGCAGGGACTTGTGTCTTATAGTTTTCTTTTAATTTCCTTTGTAGTATGGATTCCCCCTCTGCCTCTGCAAGATCCGTCTCAAGAAAACATAGGTGAGCCATTTTTGTTGTGATGGGGGGGTTGTTAAAAAGAGTGCCAATTGAGCCTGTAATATATGTTTATATATGGCTTTGTTTCAGCCCCAGCAGACATTTGGATTCTCCTGCAAGGAAATCAAGGGAAAAAAACAATAAATGCATTAACTGTTCGTCACCTGTACCGCAAGGAAGAAATCTATGCAGGGATTGCTTGTTGGAAGTGGCGGAAGTTCCCAGTAATGTTTCTCCGCAGGATGACCTTAAACACTGGATTTCCCAAGCTATTGCTGAGGGCTTTAAGTCTACCACAGTGCCTTGTGGTCCGAGCAAGAGATGCAGAGCGGAACCTCAGTCTTCCAGCTCTGCAGAAGACCCTGACCTGTGGGAGGTCTCAGAGGACGAGGAGGAAGTGGAATATACCTCCAGGTCTCTTGACTCTAAGTCTATTGATAGGCTTATTACCCTTCTTAGTCTCACAGAGGAGAAGTCTGAATTGAGAGAGGCTGACAGGTTCTTTGAAGACCTAAAACCGAATAGACCTATTTTCCCGGTACATTTCTCGATCAGGGATATGATCATTCAAGAATGGAACAAGCTGGAAAGGAAGTCCACCTTGAAAAATAAATTCTCAAGGATTTACCCTTATTCTGCGGTTGACTGCCACTTATGGAATTCAGTTCCTAAAATTGACGCCGCAGTGATTCATGTGGCAAAGAAAACTACGCTTCCCATTGACTCCATGGCATATCTGAGAGAGCCTATGGAGAAGCATATGGATGGGGATCTCATAAAAGCCTATTTGGCGCTGGGTTCCGCCCTCCATCCGGCTGTGGCACTTACCACTCTCTCCAGGGCCTTGAAAGTATGGCTCGCCAATTTGGAAGAAGACATTGATCGGGGTGTCCGTAGGGAACATCTCTTGGAGAGTCTCAAGGACTTTAGCGTTGCCACAGTTTTCTGTTCGGAAGCCTCACTGGACATCACTTGCATGATTGCCAAAAGTATGGCTCTGTCTGTGGCATCTAGAAAGGCTCTATGGCTTCATTCGTGGGGAGCGGACTATGCCTCTAAGGCATCCTTGTGTGGCCTTCCCTTCCAGGGGGATCTCCTATTTGGTAAGATTCTGGAGGAGGCTATTCAAAAAGCTGCTGATTACTTAATATAAAATAGATTGGAGGCTACAGTAGACAGATAATCATGGCTGGAGGACATATGTTGTACTCAATGAACATATTTGGTTGTAATGGCATCTAATAATGCTGTGTTTTGATTAATACCGAATATTGTTTGTGATATTTATCTTCTTATTGCAATGTAATGATTGTTTTGCTGTGGTATCTGATCTTGTTATAAATAAAGAATTAAAAAATAAATAAATTTGCTGATGGGAAAAAAAGCATTTTTACCTTAAATAAGCAGAGTGTTCACAGTGTCCTTGGCCCCAAAACCCCAGGGAAAGTGGCGTCTCATGCTGAGCTTGAAGGGTGTAAACTCCATGCTCGATGTAAGGACATTCAAAATGGAATCTTTACAGACCATCTTGAAGAACGTCAAAAGAGGAGACTGGATGACCTCCATAGACTTGAGGGACGCCTACTACCAGATACCTATAAACCAAGATCATATGCAGTTTCTCAGGTTCTGGGTGCTAGGAAGGCACTTTCAGTTCCGGGGACTACCGTTTGGCCTCAGCTTGGTGCCAAGAATGTTCTCGAAAGTTCTTGTTACTTTGATAGCCTTCATAAGGGAGAAAGGTATCGAGATCTACCATTACTTGGACGACATCCTTATCATAGGTCCACCTCAGAGGATAGTAGCTCATCACACGTTGGTGGCAATGAATATTCTTCAAGACCACGGTTGGCTTCTGAATGTGGAAAAAAGCTCCCTGATTCCTTCTCAGACGATCATATTCCTTGGAGCAGTGATAAACACAGTATCTGCCCATGTGTTCCTATCTCCGGAAAGGGTCACAAAAATCAGAGACAAAGTAGGGAAGCTACAAGGGCTTGAGACTGCTTCTGCAAGACAAGTCATGATTCTCCTGGGTTCTTTGACATCAACTAGTTTCGTCCGATCCAGAATTGCTTCCTTCTCCAGTTCGACAGAGTGGGAACAGATTGGGAGCAAAGGATCTCTCTACCCCTGCCCATGAGGAAAGGGTTGAACTGGTGGAAGAACAGGAAGAACTTGGCAGCAGGCTTCCCGTTGGAGGAACCTCCTTGGAAGGTTATTACAACAGATGCTAGTTCTTTTGGATGGGGTGCCCACTTCAATGCCACATGGACTCAAGGGAAGTAGACCTGAGAAGAGAGTCAGCTACACTCAAATCTAAGAGAACTGAGAGCGGTTTCCAAGGCCATCTTGGTGTTCCTACCAAGGATCAAAAATTCTTGGGTACTGATCAAAACAGACAACCGAGCGGTTGCTTCATATGTGAACAACCAAGGTGGCACAAGAAGCAGATTGCTCTTGAAGGAGCTAGCTCCCTTGATGACAGTAGCCATGACCAATCTCCAGGGTCTGAAGGCAATCTATCTTCCAGGTTCGGAGAACGTGACTGCAGACTAGGCAGGAAGGAAATTCTTCCGGGGGAATGGAAACTTCACCCGGCAGCCTTTGCATGGATTGCTCATCGGTGGGACATACCCCAGATCAACCTGATAGCATCCTCCCAGAATCATCAGGTGGAGAATTACGCTCCCTCCACCAGGACAGTCAGACAATGGGCCAGGATGCTCTCTCTCTTCCTTGGTCATTCGATCTGGGGTATGCGTTCCCTCCCCTACCCATGATACCCAGGTTCCTGCGGAAGGTTTGGTCGGAAGGCAAGAAAGTTATTGCCATAATTCCGATTTGGCCTCGGAGGCCGTGGTTCCCCCTATTGGCTATGATGAGCCAAGAACAGCCTTGGCCTCTTCCTGTTATGGTGGATCTGCTAACGCACGGCCCAATATTCCATCCTCATCCGGAACGCCTCAAATAGGGGGTATGGGTCTTGAAAAAGAAAGACTTCAACTACTAGGTCTCTCAGAAGCAGTGGTCAATACCCTTTTGCAATCAAGGAAAGCTTCTACTTCCACATGCTACCATAGGATCTGGGATGTGTTCCGGGAATGGGCTTCGGCCAAAAAGGTTGACTTCCTGCATCCTCACAATACTGAGATCTTGGAGTTCCTGCAAGAGGGTCTGGATAAGGGCCTTAGCCTCAGCACTCTTAAGGTTCAGTCTTCGGCGCTTTCAGCTTTGTGCAACATCTCATGGACTTCAGATCCTTTGATCTCCAGGTTCTTCAAGGCAGCCTTTAGGTTGAGACCTCCTTCCAGATATACTACCCCTCCTTGGGACTTTCCTCTGGTGCTCAATTACCTTACTGAGGATCTGTTCGTTCCCCTAGAGAGTTTGGATGCTACCCTCCTGACGTATAAAACTTTGTTTTTGGTGGCAATTACTTGCGCAAGACAAATTTCGGAGATTAAAGCATTTTCTACCTTATCTTCTTGTCTACAATTCTATCAGGATAGGGTGTGTCTGAAACCAAAACCTGAGTTTTTTCCTAAGGTGGTCTCTCAGTTTCATCTCTCTCAAGAAGTGGTTCTTCCATCGTTCTACCCCAATCCTTCTTCGCAAGAGGAGGTTAGATGGCAACGTTTGGATGTCACGAACTGCCTGTCTGTGTACCTTAAGTGTTCTGAGTCTTTCCGTAAAACTGACCAACTCTTCGTTTTGCCGTCGGGAGCCAGGAGAGGTGAGGCGGCTTCTTTATCTACGTTGGATTTCACTGGTAATCAGGAAAGCATATATTTCAAAAGGTCGATCTCCTCCAATGAAGATAAGATCTCATTCTACTAGGGCATTGTCGACTTAATGGGCTAATTGGGCAGAGGTTCCATACGATGATATTTGCAGGGCAGCCACCTGGTCTTACCTGATGACGTTCTTGAAACACTACAAACTGGATGTGGACTCTCCTTCCACCTCCTTTGGAAAGAGTGTCCTGTCTACGGTTTCTTTATCCCGTTGATATTAAATTTCTTTGCAGAAAGAGTCTGTTCAGCGTCTTTTCTCGGTTTATTCTTCCCACCCTATAATTCTGTGAGCTTGGCTATTATCCATAAGTGATGCTGCCATGATTAGCCAGGAATAGAGAAAATTTATAACAAATTTACCGTAATTTCCTTTTCTAGCTATTTCTCATGGCAGCATCAGGGTTCCCGCCCATTCTTTTATTTTTCAGCTTTATAATTGGACTGAGGTGTAAGGGGAGGAGGGATTCTTTATACCTATCAGTCTAATTAATTAATCTAATTAATTCCTGTCCTGTGACTGCTAAGGGAGGAGCCACCCATAAGTGAAGCTGCCATGAGAAATAGCCAGGAAAAGAAAATTACGGTAAGTTTGTTATAAATTTTCTCTAATACTGGCCACTTGTGCCCTCGAGGGCAACCCAAGTCTACACTCCTCCCCTCCTGAAATAAAGCGGCCAGTGTAGGTATTTCCCTCTTCCCTCATATAGCTATATAGTACCAAATTAGTTTGGTTTACCTAGATCATTGGTTTGCAGCTGTCAGAGAGTTAGGCCAGACTGTGAGCTCCAGTCTGTACCGTGTATACTGCCCTGTTGCTACTCTAGCTAATTAACCCCTTAACGCCGTTATGGCGTTCTATGCCTTCCCCATTATAATGGCCATTAAAGTCGTTGCGGCGGCATAGAACACCATAACGGCTTTCTACCCCAGGAGCTCCGCAGTACTTACCTCCACCGCGATCTGCTTTGGGAGGACTGCCTGAAAGCCCAGGCAGCCCTCCCCTGGCAAATCAGGCCCCCAGGGGCCATGTGATACACTTAGAATGAAGTTACATATATATATATTATATATATATATATATATATATATAATATATATATATATATATATAAAATACATATATATATTTTAGATTTTTATATATATATATATATATATATATATATATATATATACGTATAATTACAATAACAAATAAAATACATTTTAATATTTTTTAAAAATGAAAATAAATTATATACACATATGTAATTTCATTCTAACTGTATTTTGTTATATATATATATATATATATATATATATATATATATATATAGGTAACAAAATACACTTAGAATGACATTCTATATATATATATCTATCTCTATATAAAATACAAATAACCGCAAACATGTGTATATATATAGATAATTATATATAATTACATAAATGATTACATAAGTATACACGTAGAATTTAAATACATATATATATGTATACATATTAAAATTCTATATATTTAAGTAATCTTTTATATTTAAGTGTGTACTGCCCACGTCTGTGAATTGTACTACCATACAGAAGGTATGTGGTAAAATGTCACAATTAAAATACAATTGTAAAAATATGACAGGATGTGAATAAAAATGCAAGAATGATCATTTGATCTATTTATTTATTTATTTATTTCTGTCTTAACCTTTCACAACCAAAGTAATGGAAATAATTGCAGTACTGTGATAAATGCTGAATGAAAATGTGCATGGTAAATATTACTGGCACAAAATTGCGCGCATAGCGAACACATTGCCGTGTTTTCGGAATGTGAGTTCAGACAGTGTGTATTATATATATATTAATATATTTGTGCAGTTATGAAATTGTCAGCAGCTCTCAATCCGATTAATAAACAACTACTGGGTTAAATTCAAAAGAAATTAGCACATGTTTTTTTAACATTTAGTATAACAAACAAGATAATAATATAATTTATCATGAGTGTTTTTTTGTGCTAAGATTATTTATTTATTTTTCACGTTATTAGTATGTATGTCTCTCGTAGTGTCTTCCCAGATACACCAGTGTGGCAATCAGGACAGTAGGTTAGAGATATGGAAGGCTGCAGAGATTTGTAAACGTGTTAGTGGTCTTAACCAATATGATGGAGGTAAAAGTACCCATTAATGTAGCAGGTACAACATGTAGGGTTCTTATTTCTATCCCTTCCTACAGCCATTCCTGCTCTTCCCAAAACTCTCCCTTCCTCAATATCTCAATCACCTCTGTTTTCCTGTTTATTATGTCTCCGTCCACCCACCTCTTGCTATCCTGCATCTCTGTCTTTCTCCCATTGGTCTCTGTACCAGATGAGACAATTCTGTTCACACAGACACCCAGCCACCCCTCCCATGTAACGCTTCATTCATAAAGCTGGCTGTGCGCAGTGCCTGTAACACACAAACGCAACTCAACGAGATTCCGACAGAGAGACATGGGACTGGGAAAGGAGACGGAAAAGGCAGACACAACAACCTGACAGAGCCAGAGGGAGAGGACGTTAGAGAAGGGAAAACAAGCTTAATGAAGATACAGAGTGTAACTGATTGAGGGAGCTTAGAACACAGCTATATATAATTTTACACAGGCAGCCTTATTACCTGTGCAAAGCTCTCCACTCATATTTTAATATTATCATATCTGTGAGTGTCTTGTGTCTACAGAGACGTTGCATGCATACAACTGTACAACTACTCCGTTGCACGGCATGCTGTACATTATAACCAAAATAACTGAATGTGCACACATCGTGAATTGCTTGTGTTAATAATCTGCAACTGTGTGTAGTGGCTTGTTTGTGTCTCTTTGTCTGTGTGCTATTGTTTGCATTGCACCGCTGTATTTGTATGTGCTCTCGTGTGTGCATATGAGTATATGGTTAATGTCTGCTGTGTGTAGATGACATCCAGTGTGTATAAAAGTGCGTAATTGTCTCTTCTTAAAATTTGTGAAGTTGTGACATGGGTAGTGTATTTGTTATTTAATTTTTTTTCTGTGAGGCCATATTAGTGTCATTTAGTAATATCTCTGCCTTGCTGTAGTTGTGATATTGTGTGTTAAACTGTTAATCTATATTCAGAGGCTCTGTGTTGTCTTATACGATTCATGCTAGCCTAGAATGACTTTATGTTGGTAACATTTCATTGTGTTACTGCTTTGTGTTAAGATTTCATTGTGTTTGGTTTTGTGTTTGTATATTATTGTGTGACTTTGCAGTGTTAATATATTCTCATGTTCAGCACTGAGATGCCGTTGTGTGACTGTACATTTTGCTAATGTAGGCTTATGTGGTTGTGTTTGTTAATATACAACTTTTTTTTGTTTTATAGTTTTACTGTTAGTGAACATATCTTTGTGTGTTTTATTGTGTTTGTGTATGGTTTTATTGTGTTAGAATATTGAGGTTTTTTTTGTGCTAAGATATAATTGTGGGCTCCTTGTCTTGTTTGGTGGTGCTATTATTACATATTGTGTTCCTTTGGTTATATTAGCATATTTTTGCGTCGTGCTGTTGTGTTAGTTTTGTGTCTCCGAGTGCAGTGGGGTCAGGATGGGAGCAATCTTACAGCATCTCCTGATACTTCTAGTAGTGTTGTCAGGTAAGTTTGTGTTTTTTTTTTTATCAGTCTGTGTATAGGGATGTGGTGAACCTGCTTTTCCTCTCTCCCAACCTATCAACCATTTCCTGGTACCCAGGCACTGATATTGTTTCCATGGATACCCAACATTTAAAAGGAAACGCATTTAATGAAACAAATATATGATATTTTATTTTTTAATTGATACGCATGTCATAGAAAATGTGATAATTAGTCATAGGTTTGTCTTATATTTAACCCAATGTGCAAAATGACACATTGATGAATGAGATCGCCAGGAATAGACAGTGTAACGTGAGAGGATACATCTCAGTGCCAGCTATATATAGGCATGCTGTAACACTGTGCCGTATAACGCCACACCTATATATGTATAGCCTATGCCACAGTACATATACTAGATATGGATATTTACTTGCGCGGATACCCAGATGTGATTTAGATATCTCAGAGACATGTATGTCCACATAGTAACAGTCACAAAAATGTATGTTGTGCATATATGTGTCAGATATTGTGTAATGGAGATTGGAATTGTAACACTGACATCAGCGTTAATTTCGTCGACTAACAATATTAGTAAAATTTCAGTCGACTAAAATTTTTGAGATTTAGTCGACAAATACTAGACTAAAACTAAAATGGCTTTTTAGTCAAAAGACTATGACTAAAACTAAATTGAAATTTGCTGCCAATATTAACACTGCAAAGACGGGCTGTGGAAGGGGCAAAAGAGACAGACCAAGGCTCGGGAGAGTGACACCTAGAGGGGCTGGGGAAGGGGCAAAAGAGACAGACCAAGGCTCGGGAGAGTGACACCTAGAAGGGCTGGGAGGACACAACGAAACACAGCGGGGCTGGGGAAGGGGCAAAAGAGACAGATAGAGGTTTTAACTAAACCCATTAGATTTTAGTCGTGTTGACTAAAATCTACTGGAGATTTAGTCATCTAAAACTAGACTAAACCTAATACAATTCAAATAACTAAAATACGACTAAAACTAAAATGGCTCTTTAATCAAAAGACTATGACTAAAACTAAATTGAAATCTGCCACCGCAATGAACACTGACTGACACCTACATACATGCTATTCAAAGTGCATTCTGTTGCAGTAAAGGGGAAATGTCCATCAAGATTAAACTGCATCCTGAAGAGGAGATTACCCTGTGCATCGTTTGAGAGCAAAACCTGTGGCCCTTGTATAACCCAATATGTGGAAGATCCATCTGGGAACTGTGAGCTAAAGCAAGGTATATTTTATGTATATTCAATTATCATATTAGTAGGTAGAATGTACATAGTGTACTCACAACATCACCGAGGGTTCATTCTGAATGTAAAATGTTCAGAGAAGGTCTCATGGTGAGTGTAGGGCAAAGAGTGTGCATAGTGTTGTCAATATGTAAAGCATTGATCAGAAAAAGGTCTTGTGGACATCACAGAAGGCAAAGGATAGACAGAAGGCGTTGTGGTTATTATTGAGGGCGATGAATAGAGAGAATACCTTCTGGTCGTTATCCAGTTTATGAATCACAAATACTTTGAGATGACGTTTGCTCTTTTTCCAATTTGTAAAATTCTTAGAGCAGTCAAAGTTCGTTGGCCCTGAGGAAATAATTGACTTTTTTAACAAAATGGCGATTTCCGGAACAAAGGTGACCAGAGATCAGCACGTCAATCAAAACGGCACAGGTACATAGAGACAAATGTGTGTATGCCTGTGATTACATACCCTGACACAGACAATTAAACACACACTAATTACTACTGGGAGGGAGAATGGTATTATAAATTACAGATTTATTCATTCTAAACCTGGGCTCGCTGGAATGGCGAGGTGCAACCCTGAAATTGTACTGTAACAATATTGTGATATTTTACCATAACATTTGAGTAGGTGGAAGTTGGTAGACAGGAGTCCGGGAGCTCAGAAAAAGAACACTGCCTAATGGAAGAGTGGCAGAGGGGTTCAATTAATTATAGAAAACCGTATGAAGGGGGACTCTGGAATATCTGCACAATTTATATTATCATTTTCATTTATACAGCGCCAACCTATTCCGCAGCAATTTACAATATTATATATTGGGAAATGTAAAAATAAGTGAGACAATTACAGAATGCTATAGGAACAATAGGTTGATGAGGACCCTGCTCAAATGAGCTTACAGTCTAGAGGAGCTGGGGTATAAAGACACAACAGGAAGGGCATTGAAAGGGATAGCAACTAAGCAACATGATGTGAAAGTTGCAGAACTGGAGGTGAGAGTTCCAAAGGAAATGAGTGCGAGTTAGCATTAAGGGTGCGAGCAGTGGACAGGAGGTGGCCAAGGGCAGAGGAGAGGGACCAAGAAGGGTTGTAACTACGAATTAGTGAAGAAGTGTAACAGGGGCTTTAGTTATTAAGAGCTTTACAAAATGTAACAGGAACTAAAATTGTTTAGGGTTAGTATTTTTGACTCCTTTAAGATACAGAAAACCAATGTAACGATTGACAGAGGGGCGAGGTGTGAGAGGATCAACAGGAGAGGAAAATCAGTCTAGTGGAAGCATTCATTACAGACTGTAACGAGTACCATCAACTTGCAGGGAGAGTGAAAGAGGAGGATTAGTATTATAACGGGGAAAAAGAAAAAGCTCAGTTTTAGAGAGATTACATTTCTGAAAGCGGGAGGACATCCAATCAGAGCTGGAAGAAAAAGGCAAGTGGCGACACGTTCTAGGAGAGTGCGGGAGAGATCACAGGAGGAGACACATAGTTGTGTGTCATCGGCATACAGCTGGTAGCGGAATCCAAAGGAATTAATAAGTTTGCCAAGAGAGGCAGTGTAAACAGAAAACAAAAGGGGACCAAGAACAGAGGCATGGGGAACAACAACTGAGACAAGACGAGGGGAGGAGGTATAATTAGAAAAGGATGCACAATGAATTTTGGGAGAGAAAGGATGTGAACCATGAGAGGACACTGTCAAAGAGACTGAGGGATTGAAGAGTTTGAAGGAGAGAATTATCAACAGTGTCAAATGCAGCAGAGAGGTCTAAAATTATTTTTATGGAGTAGTGGTCTTTTGATTTAGCCATGATTAGATCTTTTGGAACTTTAATCAGAGCAGTCTCAGTGGAATGGAGAGAGCCAGAATTGAAAAAGCTAGCCAGACGGGTAATGATAAGTCGTTCCAGAAGCTTTGAGGCGAAAAGGAGCAGGGATATGGGACGATAGTTGGTAAGGGAAGATGGCATTATTGAAGAGGACCGTGCACAATACCAGAAGAAAGAGAGCAGTTGAAGATATGCATTAAGGTGCAATACTGGGCAGTGAGATCTGATAAGGTGAGATGGGGCATGATCAAGCGGACAAGTGGTGGGATGACAGGAAAGTGAAGCACAGCCACCTCCTGTTCAGAAGCCGCTGAGAAAGCCTGAAGGGTAGGAAAGGCATGGCACAAGTGAGAGAGGTGCAAAGGGCGGTGAATTCCTTCCTTAACTGGTTAATCTTGTCAGTAAAATAGCTTTCAAAGCTATCAGCTGAAATTTTACTATGGGGGTGGTGGCCACAGCAGGGCGAACAAGAGAGTTGAAGGTATCAAAGAGACTCCTGCGGTTGTGGGAGTATGAACTAATGAGAGAGGAAAAGTATGATTGCTTAGCAAGGGTAAGGGCTGTGCTGTACGAACACAAGATGAATTTCTAATGGAGAATTAGTTCATTATTACATGTTATAAACAGGCTTATAGTGGACATAATTGCATAATTATTAAAGCATACAGAAAGGAGAATAGGGACTGGTAGTAAAATGAAGGAACTATAATTCTTATAATGCTTTTATTCTGCAACCAGCCATCCACCTACCTCTCTAAGGCTGGCTCCTCCTATATCAGTGATGGCTAATCTGATTTACAAAGGTTAGCTATCATTGTCCTATATAACAAGAATCATTTTAAACAAACTATACAGTGTTTAAGGTCAATATTTGATATGTAATTGGAGAATTAGCTCTGTTAATGATCACAGCAGTCAGCTATAAAATACTACCTGGGCAGTTACTGTTTTATAACCGTATCAGCAGTACACTAATCTAATACCATGGATACAGACACAAAGAATGAACTGCAGTGACGTTCTATATCATTCAATTACATTTTACTTACAGGCCAGAGGAGGAGCAGAGCTTTATTGCCACGGCTATAGCTGAATTGGAAAAATCCTTCAAATCCATTAGGAATGTTGTTTGACATCTCAGTGTATAGGTTATTAGTGCTTCAGAAAAATATGAATTTCAAATAGTAAGTGTGTGATCATAGTTATTTTCTCCTCCCTCCTTCTCTCAATAGATAGACACATGCACATAGCACACATAGATATTTAAACCATAAATAGTGAGCAGAGATGGACTAATAATGAAACTATGAAATTTAGGGCAATTTAGCAAAGTTTAGCTGTGATCTGCTATCTCCTCATGTATTGGAGCTACAAATATATTTATTTTTTTCCTAAAGATAATGCGCCTTAGGCTGCTGTCAGGACCATATAAGAAATGTTAATGTGTCTAATAGATGCTGCAATTATTTTGCTTTTTAAAAGTCTTTTGTTTTTCTATTAGTTTCTCCTGCAGGTAGCACCACAACTGAAACCACATCCCAGTCACCCACCGCTTCTACTCCACACCTTCCTCAGCTTCTCAATGAATCCACCAGGACAGAACCCATGTCACAGTCCTCGTTAACAGCAAATGAGTGGAAAATGGGTTCATTGAGGAAGTCTGACTTTAACCAGACCATCTCTCTAGGTAATTACCCACAACACATCAAACCTACCCATAGTTCATTTAATCCCCCAATGCTTTACTCTTTCAGTATTACCAGTTTATGGTTCCGTCATACAATGACATCAATTTCTCAACGGGATTGAATTCATTAAAGGTGAAAAAAAAGTAAAATTCCCTGTTTTTCTGTCTAGCATTTTAAAAGATATGCATTTTAACTCTGCTAATGTCTACATCTTTGTAATCTGCAACATAATGTCATATGTCAGTGATTTATCTTTAAATATATGTCACAGGGTTGTGGTTTAATTGTCCCTTATTGGCCACAGTCACATGTATTCTAGTGATGCAGGAATTTCACATGCCCAATCAGATGCTTCCTCCATATGAAGGCTTCTCCTCATGGGTGGGGCTTACAGAAATAAACCAAACTGGGTGTGGTTAACAAAAATGGACCAACATAGGGGCTCTCCTCCTTGGTGGGGTTAAAAGAAACGGACCAAATTGGAAAGTGGCCTATGGGTGGTTCACTATTAGAATAGTATCATAATACTACGTACAAGCCAAATCCTGTTGATTGGTGCAGATAATTCAACTCTTCCATCGCACATCTTAAATATATTCATGTAATAATTGGAATAATATATTTAGAATGCCCCTTTCTACTAGAATGACCTATTCCACTTAAAGCACAAAACTTATCATCTATATAAATATCACATCACATCAATTTATAATGTTTTCTCCTTTTTATTGTAAAGCTCTGATAGTGATCTGCAGTCTAACAGCATTTTCGGGTGTCCTGGTGGCAGCTCTATGCTGGTATCGGTGAGTGTTCTGTGGATCTTATTAATGTTCCTCATTTATTATCTAGGTCAGTGTTTGTGAATCTGTGTATAATCCATACATGGATACTGATCTCAATTAGTAATAATAATAATATTGGTCATGGGTGCTGGACTGATTATGGATCACAGCAGAACATCATAGTCTTCCTCTGATCTAGTCTTTCCTGGGGCTGGGGGGACAGATAAAGATGCACGTGGTCTCTGAGTGATGGAAATATGTGGGAGATGACAACAGTATCAAAAAGCAGATCACACACTTAAAGATTAAATTAAATTAAATATTTGGATATTTTACCAGTAAATATTGCAGCGGGTATAAGAGAAAACAAGATCATTGTGAATTCCGTGGAGAAAGACTCAGTAATTGACTACATTAGTAGCACATTTGACCAATATAGGCATCTACACATCATTAACTAAATGTAATGAGCATTTAATTTCACTCTGATGGCATTCTGATAGAGTTATTTATTAAAGTGAGAATTCAACGTGAGGAAGAGTCATTATGGTCCTGAGTCAAAGCTGGTTCTTGTACCATGGTTGTCTAGTGTACTATATTTGCAGTGACAATCAACCTGCAGATAGTAAATAGTAATCTAGGTTGAAAAATAACTCAAATCCATGGAGTTCAACCTTTGAAACATCTTTTAATGCAGTTGCTCCAAAAGATAGATCCTTCTCCTTCATATAAATAAATGTTCTTTTCCTCTTGCCTCGTTTAGGTTACAGAAGGAGGTACGGCTGGCACAGAAGATGGCATATTCAGCATACAAGGGCACTAGGCAGCCCCCTTGCCAAAGGGTGAGCGTGAATAAGTACTATTTTCTATACTAACACAACAGTGCTGAAAAAGTAATCACTTCAAATACCATATTTTTCTCTTGTCTATCCCCTTTTTGCCTTGCAATCATGCAGTCTGCTAATGAGAATTCACATTTTATGTGGCAATATCACGATGTGAGGAAGCAGCGCCAAGCACAGAGCGGGTGAGTGAGACTGGCACCTTAAAGACTGCTGTAGTGTTTCATATAAAGATCTCTGTGGCTGATGAAGTGATACCTGCAGAATATTATGCTGTAGACTGACTGCTACCTCTGAGATGAGTTTAATAGTTTATAGAAAGCTTGTTCCTTTAAACATTCCGCTTGGTTGATCTTGCAGATGGAATAAAATGCTGTCTGAGATTTGACCCACGTTTCATTTTTCTAGATCAGCGACGAAACCTCGCCAGCAGCTCTCCACAGACTCGGAGGCAGATATTGAGGAATTCACCATGTACGAGTGTCCAGGTCTAGCTCCGGTATGTCTCTACTGAATGAATTCTAGATCAAGGATTTTCAAACAGGGCCCTCTAGAACCCACAATAGTTCTGTTTTTGTATGTTAAAATCCCTATTGCTACAGAATAGAGAAATCACAAACTGCTGGATTGATGGGAACTTTTGCTCTAAATCATGTTTGTAAGGATTATTTTTCTAGAGATCCATTGTTTGCTGCATGTGGCTAAATTCTCACCAGACATCAAACTTGGTTTTACACCTGATTCCCAAGAAATGTACGAATCAAACACGACTTAGAAACACGTTTATTAAGATATTTTCATCTTAGAAACACTAAATGCTTTAGATATGTGAAGGGTGAATTGGTTGTTCTCTGCTGCACAACACGAGTTTACCAAAGTTACCCCAGATGTTGTAGAACTTCCCATGAAAGTTGCAGTTTTACAACGCTGGGGGCTGCATGTTGACCATCTCTCACTCCCATCATTATAAGGGAATTGACACAGAATTGCAGCAGTCCCATGTGGGACCTGATGAAGTTTCATACTCTGGCTGCTGCAGTATTTTCTCCACAATTATCCTTGAGTAACCAGAAACGGGCAGCCTTGCATGACTGTAACTGTAGACCAGTGCCGAGCAAACCCTGAAAGAAGGCAGGCTATTGTATTAACATAGGAGTACTAAATACTCTCTCCCATTTTATCCCGCAGGCAGGAGAGATGGAGGTTCACAATCCCCTCTTTGATCCGTTACCAGCCAGGCAATGATGGGGAGTTTGTCGTGAAATCCTGTTATGATTCTAGACATATATATATTTATCTGTATGTGTTGCTGCTCCAAATTGTGCGCATTAAATTTTGAAATTTATGCACCTCTTCTCCTTTATATAAAATTTCTACTTAACATTAATTTACTGTGGAGTAAGTTACAGCTCTATCATACCATCAGAATACTAATGCAGACACTAGAAATAGCTATAGCTTGGAAAGCACTACATAGTTGTACAAATCTTTTCCCATCTAGATTCCAAAAGTATTTAAAGAAATCTATTTTTGTTTACTAGAGAAAACAAGTTATCATAATGCTTTAGCAGGTCCTTAAAGCACAGGCTTCTAGTTCTATAACAACCACACTTACCTGCCCCATTCTTTGGATGAGTATTAGTCAACTCTTGCCAACTTGTATGATAGATAAACACCACGTTTACACACATATAGAGATCTGCAGCCTTTCTAAAATTGGATTCATGAACAAAATGTCAATTTAGAACTAGTCTGGGTATAAGTACCATTCATACCTGTGTGTAGACTGTCTTAAAATATGATAGCGACAAATTAGTCCTATATCATGTTGGAAAAACACTGAGACAGCAGCAGATAAAGGCAAATCGGACGGCCAGTTTAGGACAAGTTAGGATTGTAAATTATACAGCAGATGTGTCCAACTTGGCGTTTTTAGCATTACTTTTACATATTCATTGTTTTATTTATTGTTTAGTTACCATGCCACAGACCATTTACAGTCACTGATAGATGAGTCAGTTCTCTAGAGTTCAAGCACACGGTTAGTGGTTTGTGTATGCTAGAATGACCCATAGCATTGTACAGCGCTACGGAATTTGCTGGCGCCATATAAATAATAAAATAATAGCACATTATTTACTCAACACAACCGCACACGAAACCGCATTCTTCATACAATTAAATGGTAGGCAATTGTATGTATCTAGTTCTTGACATTTACTGCAAATATCATAAATAATGATACAAAATTACATAAAGGATATTGTTTTGCACGAGAATTTACCTCATGTTATTCTCACAAAAACAGGACTTAAAGGGACACTATGGTCACCAGAACAACTACAGCTTATTGAATTTGTTCTGGTGAGTAGAATCATTGCCTTCAGGCTTTTTGCTGTAAACCCTGTCTTTTCAGAGAAAATGCAGTGTTTACATTACAGCCTAGTGATAACTTCACTGGCCACTCCTCAGATAGCTGTTAGGGATCCTTCCTGGGTCATGGCTGCCTAAAATGCATCCAAACATTCAGTATCTCCTCCCTCTGCAAGCAGACACTGAACTTTCCTCATAGAGATTCATTGATTCAATTCATATCTATGAGGAGATGCTGATTGGCCAGGGCTGTGTTTGAATCATGCTGGCTCTGTCCCTGATCTGCCTCTTTGTCAGTCTCAGCCATTCCTATGGGGAAGCATTGTGATTGGATTAGGCTACCACTTCTGTTGATGTCAACAGACTGCTTGTTTTTTTGAGGCAAACAGCATGCAGAGTTACAGCTTCAGGCTTGAATACAGTAAGATCTTGCTATATTTATGGAGGCAGGAATATGTTTGTGTTCCTGACCCTATAGTGATCTTTTAAAGAAAACATATGAAAGAATGCTTAGTTACATAATGGCAGGATATTAGAAAAACTTGTTTTTAAGGAATATTTCATTGAAATTCCACTGCAGTAAAATAAATAATATAAAGTAGGGACTACTTAGTTTTATGTATTTTTCCTCCATTTGCCAAAAAGGCAGAGCCTTCTCTGTCACGCGCTAGGGAAAAAGGTTCTGTTTACGGGGGTTCAACGGGACCGTCCATAAGCCCATGTTGTATTCTTGCATGCGCAAGAGTACTGCACTAATGGGAGCTCTTGGTAGATAAAATTACAGGAGGTAAAGAGGATCCCATGGAAGAAGATAGTACTTGCCTGCAAGAAATAGCTTCTTGTAAGTAAAACCTTAATTCCCCTGTACCCTGCACTGCAAATGCAAAGTCACTATCGGGAGTTTTTGCTAAATATGTAAAGATCCCAGAAAGTGACAGAGCCACTTTAAATTAAAGGCAAGAGACGATGTGTGATAAACTCCCCTTTTCAAGTGAGTTTGCTATGAGTTCCTGGAGGAGCCTGCTTCCCAGCTTCCTGCCCACAGACTATGGACCCTGTAAAATGTGATGTAAAAGTCTCTGTTCATGTATTTGGACTATATGGTTCAGGAAGCAATATCCACCTCAGTGTTGTAAGTGTTTGTCTGGGTGGCCGCAATTCCTATGGACGACCACAAGGTGGTGGCCATCTTGTTCGCATGAACGCAGGCAGCGGTGTTTGGTTGTCGAGTTCATGGAACTATTTTCGGATACTGAAACTCCCAAACACCACTGGACTTCCATGATCACCTGCGTTCGGTTCTACAACCCTTAGAAAGACAGTGTTCGGTGGAAACGTTCCCATGAACAAGAACCTGGGTAAGATTATTGACTATGTTCGGTAGTTTGTTTGTTTGTAAACTACCGAACTAGACCGACCGCAAGCTCTGATTCTCTGGAACTGTTTTGGGCATGGGACCATGGGTGCGGTCAGTTAAATTATGACTTCCATGAAATTCCTGAACCGATCTGGGTGACGTTTGGATAGGTTGGTCACCCAGAGCAGGGCTATCAGGGGATGTAACATTTGTGGGGGTTTATGTATTTTTAAGGTACTTTTGGGGTGTTTCGGAAATGTGTTTTTTGTGCCTGGAGATAATTGAGTTTAATATAGTGCTTGACTCAATGATCTCCCAGGCACAGGGAAGGGATTGTCTTGTTTTGTACAGGAGTGTCCTGTACCTGAGAGCCAATGTAATTGTGTGTATTACTGTAGTCTACTCTCAGGTTCAGTGCCCCTTGTGGCTGCCATTAAAGGTATTCCAGAGTGTATTCCAAGAACTATGTGTCGTCTGGTTACTGGGAGGGGAATGGGCTAATCACTGTTCCAGCGTGGATGATTTAGCAGGGAAAGTCCTTGTAAGGACTAGAGCTCCCGGGACGGAGTATCGCCCAGTACCTGGCGGTGTCTAGAGAGAATTCCACATTCGGCTCCAGGAGGGAGTGGTTCCAGGACCCCAGTCAAGCCACGGCTACTATGGGCAGACGTCCCCTGTTCCAGCTAGGAGGCGTTCCTTGGTGGAGGTACCCAGCAAGGGGTACAGGGAGCTCCGTTACACAATGTGTGTGTGTTTGTTTTTTTTCTTTACAATTGTGTATTATACTTCTAAAAAAGACCAGCACTTAAATTCTTGGAAACATCTCCATTAACAAATGTGGCTGTAGCAGTGGAGCGTATTCACTAAACAACAAACACAGCACTTTGTTAAAAATCAGGATTACAAAATAGGAGTTGGGGCAAAAATAAATAAATAATATATATATCTACATATATAAAAAATACTGATCTCGAAAATGTCCTCAACTCTGCCATACAGTTTAGCTATATTTGCTTCCATTTTGTAGTTTGGAATTTATTGAACATGCCACATCTTGATTAACAACACACATAAAAGGGAGTCAACACGACACTTATTTTCACCCACAATTGCTATAGGTTTTTATGTGCAAGCCTTTAGACAGAGTACGTCTTTCTCTGCAGAGGCAGTAACAAATCTTCTCCAAGCCAAATGAAAGCACACAGTTAACTTAACTGACAGGGGACGAAGAGGTTTAAAACTCAGCATCGTGTTGTATTTTGTAAATTATATTTTTCTTTAAACACAATTAGTCTCCATCTTGTTTAGTGCACCCGCACCATTTGTATAGTGTACCTATTAATATGTCATGGACGAATGTTATTTGGGGCAGTTTAGCAGCTTGTGGATATAAAAATTAAAGACACCACACAAAAGAACCAACACCCCAGGGTAATCATTTGCCATTTCAAATCAAATCTTGGCAAGACAAGTGTGTATGCAAAGTGCTTAAAGGACCACTATAGTGCCAGGAAAACATACTCGTTTTCCTGGCACTATAGTGCCCTGAGGGTGCCCCTCCCGCCAGGCTCTAGGGGGAGGAAGGGGTTAATAAACGTACCTCTTTCTCCAGCGCCGGGCGGGGGACTCTCCTCGGCTGAATGCGCAGCAAGAACCGCACACACATTCAGCCAGTCTCATAGGAAAGCATTCACAATGCTTTCCTATGGACGCCTGCGTGCTCTCACTGTGATTTTCACAGTGAGAAGCACGCAAGCGCCTCTAGTGGCTGTCAATGAGACAGCCACTAGAGGCTGGATTAACCCTAATATAAACATAGCAGTTTCTCTGAAACTGCTATGTTTATAGAAAAAAGGGTAAATCCTAGCTGGACCTGGCACCCAGACCACTTCATTAAGGTGAAGTGGTCTGGGTGCCTATAGTGGTCCTTTAAAGCAATGTTACAATAAGTAACAGGAGACTGCAAATGCAAAACACAGAGAGGAACATTATTTGGCTTTTACTATTGTGATATGTAGGGAGCGTTCGTAAGTGGTTAAAGGAGCACTTCAAGCGCCAGAGCGTGCCAGGAGTGCCATGGCACTCCCTCATTGTAAGGAGTCAAAGTTTTTGAATGGTTTGATTACCTTGTCTCCACTACTGTCAGAGAGCCAAAAGGTTTCTAGGCAGAAAATTCAGTGAGCTCATCTGAGCTGAGCAGGGCTTAGCTGGTTGGCTGATGCTCTCTGCCAATCATGGATTAGCAAATTAGAGCTCTCCAGCATTAGTATTTTAGGCAGGGAATATTTCCCAGCAGACCCATCCAACAGTACGACTCCTTCAAACGGGGAGGGTATGGTGCTAAGAGCTGTCCTCTAAACGCAATAAAAATGTGGTTTTATTTAGAAAAGTGTAATCCTCATGTTACAGTTTTCTGTCACATATACTTCAGGTGAGCAGCTAAAAGGTTCTGGGATCACATGTGAGCCAACGCTGCAGGTAAATGAAGGTTCAAACTGAAGAACACATTGAACCAGTAAATTCATTAAAATGCATAGATGGTGTAGTTTAAAAGCTATCCATTAGAATGGCCATTTACACACATAAAGCTGTGCTAGAAACCCAAACACCTTTTAATTTGTCACAGGTTCATGTCAGTCAGTTAACTATATGAGCAAGTCGAGTAGCATTTTTAAAGCAAGAGAACATGAGGTACATAACAGCACCCACAAAGTGGTCTAGCGTATAAACTTTTATTTTATTGCTTTTAATAGAATAGATGGTATGAAATTAAAAAAAATCTTGTCTCCAACTTGACCCATAAAATATTCATAATTTGTTTCCCCCCCACATTTATCCAGCAGCCCAAGGCAGTACTAGACATATAGAATGACGGCGTTATTGTAGTTGTGATGAGGTCTGGACTCCAAGAATAGCTTAACGGATTAAATAATGAAGTAATTAGTGTGCAGAAGCTGATCAATGCCCACAGTGCTTGTCCATGACCTCTATACTTTGAAGCCTAATAAGGCATTAAATGGTGCACAAAACTGTTAGACCAGGAAGGTGCACTTAGCATTTAGATGAGTTTCTATCTTCTACTGCCGCTGAAAGGTTACACATTCATGGATTATGGGAGAGAGAAAGAGAAGGAAGAGAGAAAAAGATGGAGCATTTAACTTTGGCCTACTCATAATCCTCAGCCATATGTGGGAGGCCAATGGGTCAAGTTTGTAGAGCCCCAAGTTAGAAGATATAAGAGATGAAAGAAGAATGAAGTGTCTTCTTGTAACAGGTCTGATCAGGGTCACGTACAACCACAGTGGAAGTCTGTATCTTGCAGAGAGGTCAGGCTGCGGCCGATGCAGACGACATGGTACCAGGAGTCACATCGGTCACACTGCACCCAGCCAACTGTGTCCTCCTGGGGGAGGCAGCATGAGCGCCAAGCACAAGGCTCTGCACTGGACACAGTCTGAGCCACCACTAGAGGAGGGGCAGGATTCTTCCTGGGTCGACCACGAGGTTTCCTGAAAGAAAGAATCAGAAGGGGGATCTGCTACGAATGCAAAGAAAAGTGGAGAGAAAATACAAAAAAAACAGAACATGATATGTCAGAGAAGGGGAATTTTTGTTTTTGTGGTTCGGTTAGAGAGACAACAGAGCAGTTTAAACCCATGGAACATGGTTCAGTATAAATTTGAAATGTGTCTGTTGTGTTTATGCTGGATTCTTAATAATTAATAACAGAACTGCACACTCAAAAAAAAAAATTTATAGAATGCTCCATTTATTTGATTAAAGGACATAGTTGATAGCTATAAAGTTTATTGGAATTGATCTTTTTTGGATTGATCCCTGTGCATTGTAGGTGTCAATTTACATAGCAATATGCTTAAACATGTAATTAAATTTTGTATAAGTATTGGATTTAATACATCTGCTGACCAATTAATTAATAAATTTTTAGGCTTCACATTGTGCTAATCAGCTGAAGGAGACCTCATTATTTACAGATTAAAGGTAAATAATGACAGGTTTTCTGTGGTTTCAAAAAGGTTAAAAGTATATGGTGGGAAATGTTTAACGAAAGTTAGACTGTTTGGTTTCATACACTGCTGTAGAGGAAGCTAGTGGGTCAGTCCGACTTCTCATCAACTGGGAGGAAAGCGCAAAGAAGTTTCATTAGTTTGGGATGAAATGTAGGTGCAGAGAAACTGACTTAAGCATTGCAAAAAAACGGTCATGATACCAGTTTGGCACCATCGAACCGTTCATCTTCACAGGTCGCGAGAGCCGAATGCACCGTTCAGCCACGTAGCCTACCTTCCTATAGCGATGTGGAGGCTATGTATATTTATTTACCCTCTTCACGTCATTGAACTGCTCCACTTCTCACAGGCCAAATGCACCACTTAACTTCTCATAAAACTTTGGATGCTGCACACTTCAACGGCTGGTCATTTATACAATTTGCGAAACGTTACATCCATTCCCCTCTTGTCCACATCAACTAGAAGACCTAGCGACGTTTTGGAGTCGCAGAGCTGATGTGAACTAACCAAAACTTAAGTAAGCCTTTATAATTCTTGTTTGTTTAGGCCCTTATTCAGTGCCCTATCATGGTTTCTACCTAGGACCCATATAGTTTGTGCTGCAAGTCTCTTGTATTTTTTTTATATTGACCTTGGCTTGTTTATGGAGTTTATGTACATCTGAAATTCTGACTGCTTGTTTATTCGTATTATATCTTTTATTTCTATAATACTGACCGTGGCTATTTCTGAATTTGTCTCTTTCTATATGCAACGTTAAGTCAGGCCACTCTAAATCCCAGTTATAAAAGTTATTATTAATCCTCAATCTGTGGGCTCAATTGAGAAATGTCAAAGAGTTGGGCACATTATTGCCGTAAAACAAAACATTAAGAATGTAGAAGGAACTACACAGAAAAAAATAAAAATAAATATGATGGGTACACCAGTGATCACTAACTTTGATGCTGATGAGGATTATGAATTACATTTCCTATGATGCGCAGACACGGTAAGTAGTTCACTCGCTAACAATGTATTCACAGAACCAGGAGATTGGAGAATCAAGCTACAAATAGAAATATTTTTCCAGTTCAGCTATTTTGGCCTAAGTTGGCAACGTGTGATCACACCATCAATAATCTCACCTGCCGGTCTCCCTCTGCTGATTCATCTCTTCCTCCTTTCGCCTCCCTCTTTTCCTTTTCCTTGTCCCAGTCATTTCTTCTTCTGCCTGTATGGTTGCTTCCTTGACACCATCCCCCTCTTCCTCCAGTTCACACAATACTTTGTGCTGTGATTTTCTGCGGCTACTTCTCCTTTCTAGACCTGTGCGGGATGGTAGGGGGAGATTTGGGGTGGTAGGTTTTGTAACTTCAACGACTCCCCCTATCAACCCACCACTGTGCATCCTCTCACGCTTCATTTTGCTAATGCTACCAATGGAGTTAAGGATGACCGTGGCTCCTGTTGTGTAATGGGGAGTACTTCCTCTCCCTCCGCCAAGTCGTTGAGTGCCCAGTACAGGTGTGAAACCTGGGAATGTGGTTCGTGCACGTGGGGCAGTAATGGCAGAAAAGTCCAGGGGGCGCACACGTACACGTTGAAAAAGGAAAAAAGTATCTTGGCTGGTTGAGAGTGATGAAGAGGAGGAGGGCTTCTCTTGAAAGTGAAGAAGGTCTCCATCTGACATTTCCAACCTTTGACCACGTAAAACATGAACATCATTGATATAAATGCCTAATGGAAAGAAACAGATACAGTTAACATACTGATCGAGGACGAGAGATGGACAGGAAAGAAAATACAGCAAAGAGCTAATGTTCCACAGCTGAATAGTAGACCTGTGCACAGTTTAGTTTCAGCGGTGTTGAACAAAAATTCATTTTAATCTGTTAATATACTCTAATTGAAATGATAATTTGGTCAATTGACAAAAAAAAAAAAAAAAAAGTGTTAGATCTACTGATGAGTGGAGAAATACGCAGAAAATGGACATCACAAAAAGAAAGAATTACAGATAGAGCACACGGGAGGACACAGATAAAAGATCAATGAGAAACGAACAAAATAATCACCATAATTAGTGCAACTTTCCAGTTTGACCTTCCAGTCTCCAGTTGGCTCCCTCTCCGCATGGATTTCTGCATGGATCTGTGGTTTTCCAGGCAGCGGGATGTCACACAGGTCAAGTCGAGCCCCCAGCTTGTAGACGCAGCGGTGGGAGTCTGGGAGGAAGGTGTACAGATCCTGGGAGGGTGTGCCATGTAGGCTGGGAGACAAGGGCGCCCCGGAATTCGAGCCCATGCGCAGGAGCTGAAAACAGGGCTGGACCTGCGACAGCGCAACCTCTGTCCCTACCATGGCAGCACAATGCCAATTATAGGGGGCTTACCAACCACAGAGACCTCTGACCTGCCCAACCGCAGTGACCTGGCCCAACCACGGCGACCTCTAACCTGCTCAACCGCAGTGACCTGGCCCAACCACGGTGACGTCTGACCTGCCCAACCGCAGTGACCTGGCCCAACCACGGTGACCTCTGACCTGCCCAACCGCAGTGACCTGGCCCAACCACGGTGACCTCTGACCTGCCCAACCGCAGTGACCTGGCCCAACCACGGCGACCTCTAACCTGCTCAACCGCAGTGACCTGGCCCAACCACGGTGACGTCTGACCTGCCCAACCGCAGTGACCTGGCCCAACCACGGTGACCTCTGACCTGCCCAACCACGGTGACCTGGCCCAACCACGGTGACCTCTAACCTGGCCCAACCACGGTGACCTCTGACCTGCCCAACCGCAGTGACCTCTGACCTGCCCAACCGCAGTGACCTGGCCCAACCACGGTGACCTCTGACCCCCCCCCAATCCAGCCCCCTCACAATGACAGAGCCAGACTCAGAGTGTCCCCCCCGCCCCCAGGTACAGTAACAATGCAGTGACCCCTGACCCTGGTGTGACCCCCTGACCCTGGCGTGACCTGTGGGGTTAACCCTTTGAGCCCAGGTGGGCAGTGGGCGTTGCTCCCAGCACTGCTGACGTCACTGTCCTGATAGCACCCCCCACCCCCCTCTCGGGCAGTCTGGCCGGGGGCCCCGGTTCTCCCCTTCGCCCTGGCGGTGGTGGGTCCCGCGGAGAGCCCTGCGCTGGGGGTGATCGGGCGGAGGGGGGGCAGGCTCGGGGCTGACACCTCAGAGCGCTCGCGCCGGGCTGGCGGCGGGAAACCAGGAGGAAGGAAGCGCGCCTTTGAAACTTGGCGCGTATTCGACGTCGGGTACCGCCCACAACGCCCACCTCGCGCAGGACACGCCCACCGCCCCGCGCGACAATGGGTAACACCAGCAGCCGTCGGGCGGAAAGCCACGCCTATCGAAAGTTCTGATTGGACGGCTGAGCGTGGCCCCGCCTCTGCCACCCGGCGGCCAGTAAAGCGACGATGTTCTATTTCATTGGTTGAGGCTAACTCGCTGGCCACGCCCCCCGCTGCATCCTATTGGTCGGCCTAGCAATGCCGGTAACTGACAGGAATCAACAAGCTTTATTGAGAACGCGCGGGGCTGACAGTGAGCAGGCGCGGGCAGTCCACGGTTACCAAGGGTGACGAGTGGACGCTCAGTGAGTGAGAGAGACGTGCTGCGGCAGCCCAGTGAGTGCCGGACGGTAAGAGATACTCCAATATCGGAAACCCCGGGAATTCACTAACTGGGTGTCTGACCAAACATGAACGAACCCGACCGAACCCAACCAAAACTGTCCGAAGCCTGAACAAAGCCGGACCGAAACTGACCAGAAACTGAACGAACCCAACCAAACCTGAACTAAACCTGAACAAAGCCTGACCAAACATGAACGAACCCAACCGAAACTGACCGAACCTGAACAAAACCTGACCAAACATGAACGAACCCGACCGAACCCAACCAAAACTGACCGAACCTGAACAAAGCCTGACCAAACATGAACGAACCCGACCGAACCCAACCAAAACTGACCGAACCTGACCAAAGCCGGACCGAAACTGACCAGAAACTGAACGAACCCAACCAAACCTGAACTAAACCTGAACAAAGCCTGACCAAACATGAACGAACCCAACCGAAACTGACCGAACCTGAACAAAACCTGACCAAACATGAACGAACCCGACCGAACCCAACCAAAACTGACCGAACCTGAACAAAGCCTGACCAAACATGAACGAACCCGACCGAACCCAACCAAAACTGACCGAACCTGACCAAAGCCGGACCGAAACTGACCAGAAACTGAACGAACCCAACCAAACCTGAACTAAACCTGAACAAAGCCTGACCAAACATGAACGAACCCAACCGAAACTGACCGAACCTGAACAAAACCTGACCAAACATGAACGAACCCGACCGAACCCAACCAAAACTGACCGAACCTGAACAAAGCCTGACCAAACATGAACGAACCCGACCGAACCCAACCAAACCTGAACTAAACCTGAACAAAGCCGGACCGAAACTGACCAGAAACTGAACTAACCCGATCGAACCCAACAAAACCTGACCCAAACCTGAACAAAGCCTGACCAAACATGAACGAACCCAACCGAAACTGACCGAACCTGACCAGAAACTGACCGATCCTGACCAGAAACTGAACAAACCTGAACGAACCCGACCGAACCTGAACAAAACCTGACCGAACCTGAACAAAACCTGACCGAACCTGCACAAAGCCTGACCAAACATGACCGAACCTGACCAAAACTGACCGAACATGAACAAAACCTGACAGAAACTGAACGAACCCGACCGAACCTGAACAAAGCCTGACCAAACATGAACGAACCTGACCGAACCCAACCAAAACTGACCGAACCTGACCAAAGCCTGACCGAACATGACCAGAAACTGAACGAACCCAACGGAACCTGAACAAAACCTGACCCAAACCTGAACAAAGCCTGACCAAACATGAACGAACCCGACCGAACCCAACCAAAACTGACCGAACCTGACCAAAGCCTGAACAAAGCCGGACCGAAACTGACCAGAAACTGAACTAACCCGATCGAACCCAACAAAACCTGACCCAAACCTGAACAAAGCCTGACCAAACATGAACGAACCCAACCGAAACTGACCGAACCTGACCAGAAACTGACCGATCCTGACCAGAAACTGAACAAACCTGAACGAACCCGACCGAACCTGAACAAAACCTGACCGAACCTGAACAAAACCTGACCGAACCTGAACAAAACCTGACCGAACCTGCACAAAGCCTGACCAAACATGACCGAACCTGACCAAAACTGACCGAACATGAACAAAACCTGACCGAAACTGACAGAAACTGAACGAACCCGACCGAACCTGAACAAAGCCTGACCAAACATGAACGAACCTGACCGAACCCAACCAAAACTGACCGAACCTGACCAAAGCCTGAACAAAGCCTGACCGAACATGACCAGAAACTGAACGAACCCAACGGAACCTGAACAAAGCCTGACCAAACATGAACGAACCTGAACAAAACCTGACCGAACCTGACCAGAAACTGAACAAACCTGAACGAACCTGAACAAAACCTGACCAAACATGAACGAACCCAACCGAACCCAACCGAACCTGAACATGAACAAACCCAACTGAACCTGACCGAACCTGACCAGAAACTGAACGAACCCGACTGAACCTGACCAAAACTGACCGAACCTGAACAAAACCTGACCGAACCTGACCAGAAACTGACAGAAACTGAACAAACCTGAACAAACCCGACCGAAACTGACCGAACCTGACCAGAACCTGACCAAAACCTGACCGAACCTGACCAAAACCTGACCGAACCTGAACAAACCTGAACAGAACTTGACAGAAACGGAACGAACCTGAACAAAACTGACAAAACCTGACCGAAACGGACCGAACCTGAACAAAACTGACAACAACTGAACAAAACTGACAAAACCTGAACAAACCTGACTGAACCTGAACAAACCTGACAGAAACTGACCGCACCTGAACAAACCTGAAGAGAACCTGACCGAGCCTGACCAAAACCTGACAGAACCTGAACAAATCTGACCGAACCTGAACCAAACCTGAACAAAACCTGACCGAACCTGAACAGAACCTGACCGAAACTGACCAAACCTGACCTAAACTGACCAAACCAAAACTGAACAAACTTGACCAAACCTGGAATCCTGGTCTCCCAGTGTTGTTACTCCTTTGTCTGTCTCCCTTCAAGTCAGCGGTGCTACCATAAGCTCCACCACGCAGGCTTGCTGCCTAGGTGTTCTCTTTGACTCCGATCTCTCCTTCAAGCCTCATGTTCAATCTATCGCTAAATCCTGTAATTTCCATCTCAAAAACATTGCGCGCATCCGCCCCTACTTAACGCCAGATGTGACTAAGGTGTTGGTCCATTCCACTGTGCTTTCTCGCCTTGACTACTGTAATCCGCTTCTCAGTGGTCTTACATACTCCCAACTTGCGCCGTTACAGTCCATAATGAATGCGGCGGCGAGGCTCATCTTCCTGTCCGCCCGCACCTCCCATGCCTCACCCTTCTGTCAGTCCCTACATTGGCTTCCTATAAAATATAGAGCTCAATTTAAAATTCTGGTTCTTGCTTTCAAATCTCTACATAATGCTGCTCCCACCTATCTATCCTCCCTTATACACAAGTATGTCCCGTCTAGGCCCTTATGATCTGCTGAAGACTTACATCTATCTTCTGTCCGTACTCCCACCTCTGATGCTCGCCTTCAAGATTTCTCGAGGGCTGCACCGTTCCTGTGGAACTCCCTTCCCTCCTCCGTTAGATACTCACCCAGTCTCCACTCCTTCAAAAAATCGTTAAAAACCCACTTCTTCATAAAAGCGTATCAATTAAACTGTTAATAGATCACGACTGATTCCTCTCTTGCAACTGTCATTAGTCTAATACTATCCTTACCTTTTTGTGTCATTTTACCCCACTCCCTCTAGCATGTAAGCTCATTGAGCAGGGCCCTCAACCCCTCTGTTCCTGTGTGTCCAACTTGTCTGGTTACAACTACATGTCCGTTCGTCCACCCATTGTAAAGCATTGCGGAATTTGATGGTGCTATATAAAAAATAACATAATAATAACACGGGTCACACCGCAGCCAATAGAGATCAATATAGCAGGAAAGCCACATTATATCAATTAATGGAGAGCCAGTCAGAAACTATTATAACATTAATTACAAATTATACCGGTAGGAACAGCGGCCAGTGGGAGGTGACTGACAGATTCCATATTAGAACACTGAGCGGCCAATGGGAGGTGACTTACAGATTCCATATTAGAACACTGAGAGGACAATGGGAGGTGACTAACAGATTCCATATTAGAACACTGAGAGGCCAATGGGAGGTGACTGACAGATTCCATATTGGAACACTAAGCGACCATTGGGAGGTGACTGGATGACAGATTCTGTATTAGAACACTGAGCAGCCAATGGGAGGTGACTGGATGACAGATTCTGTATTAGAACACTGAGCAGCCAATGGGAGGTGACTGGATGACAGATTCTGTATTAGAACACTGAGCAGCCAATGGGAGGTGACTGGATGACAGATTCCATATGAGAACATTGAGCGGCCAATGGGAGGTGACTGGATGATCGATTCCATATTAGAACACTGAGCGGCCAATGGGAGGTGACTGGATGACAGATTCCATATGAGAACATTGAGCGGCCAATGGGAGGTGACTGGATGATCGATTCCATATTAGAACACTGAGCGGCCAATGGGAGGTGACTGGATGACCGATTCCACATTAGAACACTGAGCGGCCAATGGAGATGGAACATTTGACAGAGATTCCATATTAGAGCAACGAGCATCTAATTAGATGATTACAGCAGAATTTGAAACTAGACTGGGGAACTAGTTCTGAAATAGAACTACAAGCAGCCATGCTGAAGTGCTGTAGGGTTTTGGAGTGTTTCTTTTACATATACAAATTCTGAGATATCTTACTTTTGCCATGGTACAGCTCTGGCTCCTGTCAATAATTAACACTGAAAATATTTTTTTTTGTCCTAGTAATGTTAATCATTTGTCTTATTTTTCTGAATGTAATAGTAAAATCAAGTGGGAAAATGTGCAGAAATTCTGAAAGAGGAATAAAACGTGGCTAAAACAGATTATTTTGGCACTTTACAGAAAAGATAAAAAAATAAAGTCCTCAAGGTAAAGCATCACTTTTATGTAAGAAAATAATGAGTTTTCACACATCTGCCACAACTGTGAAAGACAGAAGGATTTGTTGCATCTTATTCCCTCATGTTGTTAATGATAACATACCATATACAATGATTGCCTTTATTCTTCGTAAAATGCATACATTTGAATTATTTGCAGATTTTTGGCTAGATATGGAGAAGAAAACTTTAGACATTCCACCTGTGTATTCACCAAGCATGGGAAGAGGTAAGTAAACCTTAAGTTGTCATCGCTTCCTGTTTTATCTTATTCTGTGGAGATTTGATAAAGTTTTATAAGTCTGAATACTTTTGCTCTAGTGAATGAAACTTCTTCATCTCACGTGGGGGCACTCTATCTAACCACTACAGCTCTGTGTAGTCCTTCTGTTTCCTAGAGTCTCTGAGTGCCATCCTCCTGATCGTATGCAAACTATTTAGAAACTGTGCCTCTCCATTGCATCATGAAGTCTGTCCTTCCACTGTTAATGATAATTCAGAATTTACCCTTTGTCATTATTGTCAATTTGGTTTGTCCAATCTGGATGGCAGCGATTAGCTGGTAGTTCTGAGGGAAAGACCCCCCCTTTTTTAAAACAGCCAGATAATTAACCAGGGAATTGCACCCAGAAACCGTTCACTGAGCTATGTAGGTTATGTTGCTGTGAGTGGAGTACATTTCATGTAGGTTCCATAGGTTAATGTGCTTCTGTCCCTTGAGAATATGCTTTTCAGATAAATCATAACCCGTTACATTCCGTCTGGGAGCTCTCACTCCAGTTTGTGGTGAATTCTAGAATTTATACTGATTCACAGAGACATTTTTTTTTTTTTTTTTAATCATTATAGATGTTACATATAATAAACATCTGAAGAGCTCTCCCATTCTCATACAGGAATCAGGCATATCTCTTTTCCTGGTGTCCTCCACTCTGCTGCCAGCTGTCAGTGATTTTGCTAAAAACGTCCATAAATGTGTAGTAGTAATGCCTCAGGAATGCATGGCAATTTATTAAGTGCCCCTGATGCTGTTCTTCTTAACACCTTTTACCTCAGAGTAACTGAGAATGGACGGAAAGTCCTGCCATTTTAGCTAAGCATTATCAGTTAGCAGCACAGTCAAATCAAAATAAATCTGCCTCGCCCCTAACCACCAAGGGCACAAACAAAGGCAATGATATTTTCATGACAAACTGGCTGTTCATTCTAAAGTGTGTTTCCATTTTAAATCACATCTCTTCTGATCCAGAAGTGACCTACATTCTTTCATTTATTTTGTATTCTTGCTTTTTGTTTCGAATCTATTAAGTTATAATTTCCTTCTTCTTCTCACTTACATTGTTTGCTGACATTTGGTCTACCCTACTGAGGCCTAACTGATTACAATGGACAGTTAGTAAGAAATCAGACAAAGTATAAAGAGGATGTGCAGGAGCAGGGGTGGAGTAATGGATGGAGCCCTGTTTTCCTGGTGGAATGGCGATTTCTGCTTTGCTCAATTATGAATTCTCTTCCTCTCCTTTTCAGGTCACAATGGATTAATGCCACCTTCCCACTTCGAGATCCCTCGAAGGTTTCCTGCTCCCCCTCCATCTGTGAGCATTCCTCCACCACCTTGTCATCCTACAGTTTATGAACCATGGGAAGATCTGGCAGAGCAGTTATCACAGCTTAGGAAAGAGAACGAGGAGTTGAAGAAGAGATGGGTGAGGGGAGAAAGCACAAGAGCCAGGTACCTGTAGCATAAACAGTCAGAGTAAACAGTCTTTCTCCTCCAGGACTTATTGCTTATTGATGCAAATCACAAAGAGAATATGCTAGATGGCGATACTTGTGTTCAACATCCCAGGCCATGGAAATTGGTCTTTTTCCTGTGTACACGGGAATTTGTTATGGATATGTCGAAAACTATTGGAGTACAGCCAAGGTACACTAAGGATAGGGGGATAACCCCTGATGGAAATAAATTGCAAACAAAGAGGAAAGTGTACCTTAGGAATAAAGAGGAGGCTATCACTAGACAACTAATGTAAGAATGTAGCGTGGGAAAACCACTAAATCATAAAGTAAAAAATAAAATAACAAATGACTTTATTAAATATACTTGTTTAAAAACACAAAAGAAAAAATATAGTAATGAAAAGAATGGATCCTACGATATGTAATTAAAACCAGCCAAAAAGGTGCCACATGATAATTTCAATTAAACACTGATGTCTCAAAAATATGTAAATATTGCACCCAGCACACATCTGTGCTCAATGAAAAAGGGAGGCAAAGGGGAGAAATGGTCAAACTATGTAATGGCCCATAAAAAAGACCACCACTCTAAATCAATATGCTGGAAATAACTGACAAGTGGATAAAATTGTCAGAAAATTGTAGCACTGCTAACTGTATAACTGACTAGTGGATAGAATTATCAGATAATTGTAGAACTGATTGCTGTAGAAGTCACTGCTTATATATATATATACTCAAACTGCTACAAGGATACTGAGTACTAAGTTGCAACAAATGTGGCACTCTCCCCATCAATGTCTGCAGCCCGTGAGGTAGAGAAAAAGAGACTAAATTGCCATTCGGAAAACATACATCTGGGTGCAAAAATAGTAAGCAGAGACAGAGAGAGGATGCTAATACTTCATACTAAAACTCCCCATGTGCCTTCATGGGCACCTAAAGCTAGCGCCCGCTAAAGGTAGCCTAACAGGACATCAGAAAAAGAAAAAGATTAGAAGTAGTTATTAAATATAATAAATAAATGGCGGTTGAATAGCGCCAGGAGTCCCCTGACGCGCGCGTTTTGCCAAAGCTCGTCAGAGGCAAAACGCGCGTGTCAGTTAGCAGTGCTACAATTTTCTGAAAATTTTATCCACTAGTCAGTTATTTCCAGCATATTGATTTAGAGGAGTGGTCTTTTTTATGGGTCATTACATAGTTTGACCCTTTCTCCCCTTTGCCTCCCTTTTTCACTGAGCACTGGGTGCAATATTTACATATTTTTGAGACATCAGTGTTTAATTGAAATTATCATGTGGCACCTTTTTGGCTGGTTTTAATTACATATCGTAGGATCCATTCTTTTCATTACTATATTTTTTTCTTTTGTGTTTTTAAACAAGTATATCTAATAAAGTCATTTGTTATTTTAGTTTTTACTTTATGATTTAGTGGTTTTCTTACGCTACATTCTTACATTAGTTGTCTAGTGATAGCCTCCTCTTTATTCCTAAGGTACACTTTCCTCTTTGTTTGCAATTTGTTATGGATATGTCTTTTATTAAATATGAGGCATCTAAAACCATGTTACTTTAGGGTCTAGCAAAACCTCCTACTAGGATTGAGACATCTGTCTTTCAAATGCATGAAAAAATGTGATCCATGTCTGATGCCGTCTGACAGGAGTGCAGAGACTTCTTAGACTCTAGGATCGTCTGCACTCACAACTGAGAGCACCATCACCCTTTAAAAACATAAATAATTCCAGCTTCAAGAATGGTTAACTGTTCTAAAGAAGGATAGGGCACATGAAGCATCCAGATTGCATTAGTTCTTTTCTTTGACTTGAACACAGATATTTGGAAGTCTCAGATCTGTCTACGTTCCCTATAGTGTGGGAGATACCATGGTGTTGGGAAGCAGCGGATGAAAAGTGATCACAATCTCTAGCTATGTCTATGGACTCTGCACACACAAAACTCTGGTCTTCGACTAGGACACAGCCTGCAGACACTCCTGTTTTACCTATCTACTACCAGTTCCAATTGTCTAATCATGCTTTATTGACAATGTTTCCAGTAGGAATTGGCAGGGTGTTTACTTGTTATTAAAATTGGGAATAACAGGGGACACAAATCTGTGTTTTGTATGATTGTTATCTTTAGACAATCATGGCACCTTCAGTATGGTCAGCATTTCCTTTACCAAGTGCTGTGTAAGAATTACACACATATTGGCATTGGTGTTCTGACTTCCTATGGAGTATACATTCTTATACATTCAGTGATGGGTTACATTATCACTAGTTTTTTCTTTATTGGTAAAGTGAAAAAAATAAACCTCTATAATTGCATATATGGAGATATATATTCTCAGTGACTGAGGCTAGCTATTCCTAAAGGGAACTTTCTAAAACAGGTCACTGGACCGTCACCAACCGCAGGCAGAGTTGCAGGCCTTGGAAATCATTTCCCAACAAATGCAGGAGATCCGTCGGCTAGAGCTGGCAGTGTCAGATATTCACGAGAAAGAAGAGAAGCTGGTAAAGCTAACGCAGGAAGTCCAGGAACTGAAGCAGGCTTTGAGAGAGAGCAAGGAAGAAGAGGAGAGGAGAAGGCTGGCAGAAGACCTAGCTACAAGGAAGTACCAGGAGGAGGTATGTGGTAGAGCTTCCACTTCAAGATGTGTCTGATATGTACATAAGCCACTGAGTGACTGTCACTTACTGCACTGTTTTGTGGTTCTGTATGTGGAATAGAGACCAGCACAGCAATTTTCAGAGACTTGGGTCAAAAACCCAGTATATAGAATGATGCTCTTTCACCCGATGGTGGAATTGTATACGTTTCATTGTATGCATGTTGTGGTGCATTGATTTAAAAGAAAATATCCTAGCCTTGTGAATTAACTAAGAATGTTTGTAGTAAATATATAAATTATATTTTAGTTGGAATGTTTATATTGAACAGCAAGATAGGCTATGGTGTGCCTCTGTTGTATAATGTCACTGGAAACAGTTGAAAGACTTTTAAAGTTATATATTAGTTGATTCTATATTGTGGGAAAAAATCACCAGGGATGATCTGGCCACAGAATATTTTATTGTGAATTCAAGTCCAAATATTACTGTATATGTATCACTTCCTTTGGCAGCTCTGATTTTGTACTCTCAGCTTTCAGTAATGTCAGAGAACCACAAGATGGAGTCATCAACCCTAAAGCGCCAAGTACAGATGTTGGAGCTGGAACTAAAAGAGTCACACCAGAAGCAGGAACAGGAAGTGATATGCCTGAGACAGGACTTACAAATGGCCAATCAAGAGAGAGAGTGCCTGGCAGAGCAGCTAAGGTATAAGATACAAGTGGAATAAGAATAACACTGCCCTCCAATACATAGTGGAGATAATGAGCTTGTTTTAACTGGGAATGGGCAGGTGTAATGTTGTGCAAAGTTAAAAAACTTAACATAAAAATGTTGATTAGGTGCTTATGCAATATACCATGCTGATTAGTGGAAGTTGACAAATGTACCTCGTCTGTTATAAAAAAAAAACACAAAGTGTTTGAACCTTGTGTCGACAGTCCTGGCACTTGACACTGATATCACCGATATTCCTGAAATCCAAAACTATTATCTTTGAAAATAAAGACATATTCAGGACTAACTGCCATTCTTTGCTCCACAGTCGCTGTCACCTGCAGCTAGAATCCCAGAATGCCTTGGTGCAGCAACTTAGAACGTACATCGGGGAACTGGTTCCAGATAACAGACGGTTGGAGGAACAGAAGAGAGAGAGGGCGGAGCTTCGGAACACTATACAGGTGAGGGAATTCTTCATATATTTTTTCTATGTTGTTTTTAGAAACTGGTGATTATTGTAGAAGGTGGTGTCCACTTCTTACCTCGCTGCCAGTTAGTCCTTGGAATCTCAGGAGACAGCAGAGAGCTGTGGGTATAAGGAAGGGGCACCAGAGAAATTAGACTGTTTTATAGAAGTTTTTAAAATGTGAATGGAATGCATATAGTTAAAGTGAAATATTGTCATTTAGTATTTTAATGAATTACATTTTAACCTATATTTACGTAAGATTGTATGTATTTATGTTCCTTTTCAGATTCTGGAGAAGGAGAGGGAGACTCTGCAGACATCAGTTTCTCTCCTGCACACCCGCTTGTCGTCCCTCACAAACATCCTGTCCCTACAGGAAACAGAGCTATGTAAAAAGGTAAATCCAAGTAATCCCCGATTACTGAATACACATTCTTAAACAAAGAGGGTATTGATCACTTATAAAAATGCTTAACTAAAGAGTAAAGTTTGGCTATCAAAATTCTTATTAATACATAATTGTTGTTAATGGTAATATTCGTATTATTTTACATGCACTATTTGATACAGATAAGCTCTGTAACATATAACCGATATGATACAATGATACAAGCAAAGACATAGCTAACATCTACACCAGGGCCGGCCAAATGGTAGACCACCAATCCAGTGACATTAAATTATTAGATTTGTACTGCTTGTCCTGACTTAAAATCTAAAATGGTAATTTATTCTTTCAAAGGAAGAGATCATTAAAATACAGTGGGGAATGATGTCTTCTGGATGTTGGATAATCTGGTATAAATATGGTCTCTTTAGGAAATCCATGGAGATAGAGAGAAGACCCAGCTTTTGTTGTCACGGTGGAGGGAGAAGGTTTTCTCTCTGATGGTGCAGATGAAATCGGAGGATATCAACAGGACTAATGACAGAGACAAGATCAGGGAGAAGGTGAGTCAGGAAGTATGAGTGGCAACAAGGGTGGACTGATTAGAGATGATTGGAACATGAGAAAAGAGGATGTTGGAGGTAGAGGAGAAGAGGGAAAGCTCGCGGGTGAGAACGAGATTAGAATTCAAAATTATTTGGTGGAAACAGAACCTGGCTCCTTGCACAATTGCTTATATTTTATGAAGCTGCAAGCCTGCTTCTTTTTTGCTATATGTGTAATTTCTCACACAGTGACCGGCTCTGATATTGTCTAAGCTGTGCCCATACATGTTCGGACAGCTCATGTGAATAGTGTGCACATATGTCATTTACAAAACAATGAATGTGGCGGCTGGCAAACTGCTAGCAATCATACATTGGATGCTATCATCTAGTGAATGAAACCACTGCTGGGGGCTCCACTACATTTTCACAAATCTCTGCTGGATCAGTCCTCATAGACCAGAATGAGAGGCTTCTGATGTACAGAGCCACTTCCTGTGATCTGTGCAGAAATCACTGCTGTTGCTGCTTGCCTTGTGGATTCACATGAGCTTCTTTCTTTAATGCTTTTTTTATATCATACAATAACCTTGAGCACTTCTAGGGAGAAGGAAAAAAAAAAAAAAAAGAATGGAAAAGGGTCAGTAAATATGAGAGAATGAAAAATGGATATGCTGATATCCAAGATTGATAGGGGAACTAGCAGAAAGCGAGAGAAGAAATGGAATGGGAACCAAAGATAAGGATGTGAACAGTAGAAAGGAAGTAATGAGGAGAGATACAGTGGGACAGGACCTAACAAAGAGCAAGTACAGAGGGGATTGTGAAACGTTTAAATGACAGGCTGTAAGGAAAAGGGCAAATGGAAAGCAGACAAGAAAAAAGGAAGAGAATGCAAGGCAAATCCGTGCAAAAACTCATTTTAAGCCATTCGTCCGAATAAAATGCCTAAACGTTATGAATGAACCGAATTTAGTAATCCATTCATTCAACATTAAGCCATTTTATTTGGACACAGGCCTTTTTACAATGAATTTTTGCACATGTCTAACACAAAGCTGATGAAGTGTGTAGTGAATAGTGCTGTAATTCATCTGGTAAAGGTTGCATTGTTGTTTTTGTGTTCCTTTATTTTGTCTTATCTCAGTATTTTCCTCCCTGAGTCAGATCTCCTTGTTGGAAAATTCCTTGGAAGAGAGTAATCAGCAGCAGATCCTTTTATCTCACTCCTTGCAAGACCGAACAGCTGAACTAGAAATGGAGCGGGTTCATAGCAAGGTGACAATCATCAGAGCACACAGAACCACAATGCCTCCCACGCCATTAATGTGGAACTCTGTGATATGTATGAGTGTATGATCTGTAATATAAAGCTTGACCACTTGAGGTCACTGTAATGTCTTCAACAATAATACACATGGTCCTCATTAAAGAGACATTCTGTTTGTATGTATATATGTGTGTGTGTATGTATGTATGTATGTATGTATGTGTATATATATATATATATATATATATATATATATATATATATATATCCAAATAGGTTTTAGTGGGGTAAAATTGTGATTGAAAACCCCTTCCACCTGAAGTCTGTGGATAGTTAATACAATGTTAAACAAAAATCTGCACACCAGTCAAGCCCAGGGACGTATTAGCCGCGAGGCTAACAAGGCATTTGCCTTGGGCGGCATTTTTCAGGGGGTGGCAAAAAACGCCGCCCCCAAATGCCCAGGCAAATGCCTTGTTAGCCTTGCGGCTAACTGACCGGCCGGGCGCTGGGCTGGCGGGCGGCGCTGGCAGGCGGCTGGCGAGGGAGCTCTTCCTCTGAGCTGTCTGCTCAGCTCCCTCGCGCGCCGCAGAGTGAGGCTGGGAGCCGGAATATGACGTCATCGACGTCATCGAGCTGAGCAGACCGCTCAGGGGAAGAGCTCCCTCGCCAGCCGCCTGCCCAGCCCAGCCGGCAACCACTGGACCACCAGGGAGGTAATGAACCCCTCCCCCCGCAGCACTCCCAAAGGTAAGGAGGTGAGGGGGGGGAGGTAAATAAAAAAAATAAAAAAAGTGTTAATGTGAGTGAGTGAGTGTGTGTCTGTTAATGTGTGTGTTTTGTGAGTGTGTGTCTATTAGTGTGTGTCTGACTGTGTGTTTGCCTGTGAGTGTGTGTGTCTGACTGTGTGTCTGTTAGTGTGTGTGCGTCTGTTAGTGTGTGTGTGTATTTGCCTGTGAGTGTGTGTGTGTCAGTGAGTGTGTGTCTGTTAATGTGTGTGTTTGTTAGTATGTGTGTGTATCTGCTAGTGAGTGAGTGTGTGTCTGACTGTGTTTGTCTGTTAGTGTGTATGTGTGTGTCTGACTGTGTGTCTGACTGTGTGAGTGTGTTTGCCTGTGAGTGTGTGTCTGTTAGTGTGTGTGTTTCTGTTAGCGAGTGTATGCGTATCTGTCAGTGAATGTATGTGTGTGTATTTAGAAGGCGGGTTGGGAGGGGGTTGCGCGGGGGGGGAGCACAAAACCAGGATACACCACTGGTCAAGCCATAAGACTTGCTTTTCCCACAGAAATCCCAAATCTGCAGTGATGTTACAACCGCAAAGGGTTCTGGGTGGGCATATGCAAATTAGTTTAACAAAGAATCACATTTTTGCCTCATTCCATTTTAAACATGGATTCCTTTTAATCTGTGCAGTATACAACCATTTAGGAAAAGATGCAAAGCCAGTGAACCACTTATGGACAGCTGTTTCATTGTTAATGCAACTCATCAGCATGAGGTTGGTTACTGGTTTGCTTATTGAGGCTTGGTAAAGCAAGAAAGCAAGTCTTATGGCTTGACTGGTGTGCAGATTTTTGTTTAACATTGTATTAACTATATATATATATTATATATATATATATATATTTATTTATTTTTCATTAGATATATCACCACCCCGCCCTAAGCATACATTTTAGGGTTTTTTTAGACACTTTTTTTTCTCTTGAAATCAACAATTTTAGAAAATTGCCTGCAGGGGCAATCAAAGTAATTCTTTAGTGAAAATATCTGAATTTTAAATCACACAAAACCTGTTACTCTCACTAGTTACGGTGTGAATATAAATAAACCTAGCAAGTTATCTCAAATTTATTAGAAAATATAATTAAAACTGTTTAGCATATAGGTCATTAAAATGACCTAATACAATATTAGAAACTTGTAGAATTCCTTTATTTAATCAGAGTTTTTTTTTTTTTCAATCTATTGAATTAACCAAACGTCTAAAAGGTTTAACGCAGGAAGAAACACAGCCGTGAGAACTGTCTGTGTCACTCGCTGCACAGCACTGAGCATGCTAATATAGACATTGTCACTAGTCATACTCCAAATCAAGGGCTAGCAAGGCAAAGAGTCACACAATGACACTGCTCCTCCTTCAAAAACACTATTTCTTCTTGTTTTATATACAACCCTCTACCTCCCTAATGCTTGGTTTAAGCCTTTGTGACAAAATCAGCACTTAAAGGCTGTCTTTTAAAATCAGTCATGGCTCCTATGGCCGGATTGGTCAGGGGACACCAAACTGAAATGAATGAATTGATTAGTTCAGGTTGTCATTTGGATTGTTCAAGCCATTATTATTAGGTGTTTTTTTTTGGGGTTTTTTTTTGTAATGTCTTAGATCTGCGATTAGGCATTTTAAAAGTCGAATAAAATATTTTAGTCTCTTTATGACTTTGTACCATGTGGGGATTTTAATAAGCAACATGTTGTAAACCGAAGTGAAAATGGAGGCAAAAAAAGATTATCTGACTCTATTAACCCAGAGCTTTGTTTTCTAGTCTCTGCAGGCTGAACTATCTGCAACACAAGTTAATTCTGACGTTCTGCGAATCAGAGTGGACAAAGCAGATCAGGTAGTTCTGCAGCTGAAAGCAATGATTGACAGGTACGATTACCATTTTTTTAATTAAATGATCGAAACGGTTTCAGAATGGGAAAATTGTGCTAAACCACGAAAGAAAGGGAGAAACTGTCAATGTGATTTCAGTTCATTGTTATTTCCATCATTAATTTAACTTAGACTTGGTTTTTGGTCATTGCTTATTGTATAATATAGAATGTAATAAAATCTAAACCTACTTTTAAATCCTCCTGTTATCAGGCTGCTCGTGGCTGTGTGTCTCTGATGGCCTAAAGTGTGTCACTGTCACTATGTCTTCTTGCTGCTTTCAGCCCCCGTCAGGCTGGCTCATATCACAATCTAATAGCTCTGCCCACATGGAGAATGACTCTATAATACTGCTAAATACTTACTTAGAGCAGAGTTGTGTGAAAGACTGTACTGTGACAATTTCTATTTGCTATGCTGGTAGGTTTAATGTGTTAAACATTGTTTTTAGAAATCAAGGTAACTTTCTTTTCTTTTTTTTGTTTTGTTTTTCTTCTTAGATTCGTTGAAGTGATGGCAGCTCAGGAGGGGTTGCTAAAAACGGCTCTTTCAAGACTGGTGACTTTGGGGCAGAGGGTTTCATTTGCTGCTAAGAGAGTAGACGCTACACAGGGTGGGATACTTACATGTGTATATGTGTTTCCCTTATTATGCTCCTTTTCTAAAACAAAGATTAAAATGAATTGATAATAGAAAATGATAAGCACACGTCTTAATTTAATGGCCATGAAGGATAGTGCATTCCAGGGTACAGAAATAAGCCAAGGTGGTGCCTTAAAAACAACAGAGTATATTCACTTAACTACGAATTGCAGATCATTTGCAGAGGACTTTCACATTTTTGGAGTGTGGAGTTCTATTTTTCTTCAATTCTACAACATATTTTTCCAGCTTCCCAGCTTGGGCCTAGTCAGTTCTTCACAAGATTCCCAGTGTGAATAAATCCCAAATTGAAGCTTATCTCTAGTGCATCTTTAACAGAACCAAGCCTGTAATCATTTTATTTTTTGATTCTTCCCTGAAAGTTTGTAGACAAACACGTTTCATTAGTATAGTAATATAAATAAATCTCCTGCTGGTGTCACAGTGGCGTTCAATGAGTGGATGAGATATATAAGCAAATTCTGTGAGATAAGTTTAATTCATTGAAACGTGGTGCTGGGTTGCTGAACAAAGAGCTTACAATTTACACAAATAAAGTATATGATGTGCAATGTGTCTGTTGTTCTCTAGTAGTAAGTATATCAATCTCCATCTCAGGTCTCGTAGCTCAGAAACTCGCCCTGGGGAAGCTGGAACAGGAACGAGATGTCAAAGCCAAAGATGCAGCCACTGAGAGTGACATGTGAGTTGCCTATAATCACATTATGGGGAATCAGTAAGTAGGAGCAGACAGTAAACAGAATTTCAAATTTAAGGCTAAAATTGCTGAACTGCAGGCACATAGCTGAATTGGATCATTTTTCTAGTTTGGCTATTTCAACCTTAAATTTAAATTTCTCTTTGTGTTCCCACTTTAGTAAATAACCTGGACAGATATTGTAGTAATACGAGAGAGTGCAACAAAGACACTACAAGCAGTCTCCGAGTACATGTTTACATTATAAACCAGAAGCAGTCTAGAGGAAAGTAACAAAAATACAAAATTTCAGTCTTCCATCCTCAAACTCCATATTATGTCCCTTTTATCAGAATTTCTCTTTTGATAGTTTCTTTTTCTCCCCACTTTATTTAATGTGTTAGTGGTTAAATCACAGTCATTCAGTGAACACAAAGAGGAAGTGGATAATGCTAAATCAGCTGTTGCACTGTGGAAAAAGAATAGCTTTAGATCACAGAGAAGCTAAATGGAGCAAGAAATAGATACTCTGCATGGTAACAGTGAGCCAAATACCCAGGATTCCATGGTGTAATACTTACTGAATGTGTAATGAAGCTAACTGAAACTCACAGACTAGAGGTTATTAACTGTGTGCTAACGTATAGCTCCACTAATATAAATGTCAAAGGACTCTACTAGGAGACTGCTAACTGAACAAATAGGGGATTTAGACTAATTATCATGTTATTTTCTGCAGCTGATGTGGGAATTGCAAATTTGGGCTAACAAAGCAGAGCTGGTAAAATCTCTGTTTTGTTGTGTTTTTCCATTTTATGATATTGTGACCTAAGATTTTAAATTCCCTGCTCAAATCTTTACATTTTCATCATTTCTATGCTGTTAGAGGAAATGTACCAGTGCTAATATTCCAAAAATGACACTCTGATCTAGAATATTCTATAAATATGTAAAGCTGCTATAACACCTAGATCTTATCTTTTGAAATAGGAACTGGAAACTTTGGATAGGTGAAGCGCTATATCAAGATAATAATAAGGGTGGAGATTTTTAAGAAAAAAAAAAAAAAGGATATATAAGACAATACCTCAAGTGTTCTTAAGTCTATCTTCCCAGTACTGAATTTAGTTTCTATAAAACATAAAAAACAAACCAAACATAGTGTAGACTGTATTATATATTCAAATGTAACAAGAAAAGGATAAATTCCCACTCACACTTTTAAGAGCTAATGTATAATAGCTCAATAATAGCGCTCTTGGGGTCCGTAAAGGCGACCCTCACCCTTCTTGTATGTGGATGCTTCTATGCTGTTAGAGTATAGATTCGTGCGGCCTTTGGATTTAATCACACTGGGAACTGTGCAGAATTTAAAAGTAAATTGTGAATTCTGTACAAATGTGCTGAGGAACAATTCTCCAATTTTATTATGCAATTTCCTTAATTCTCCACAATTACCAGGTTAATGAAGAAATCTGATCATTTTTATGTCTATTTCTTTGTCAGATGTCGTCCCTCCTATGAGAACCTGCAGCAGGAGGTGAAGTTTTTACATGATGAAAGAGACCGTCTGAGTTTAGAACTAAAACGCAGTGCTCTGCTGATCGAGGGGAAAGTGAAAGAGACTAGAGAAAGAGGTAAGGGGCGAGCCACTAAGATCCAACCCAAAGAATACAGGTTGAAGTCTGTCCCTCTGTCTGCAGGGCGATACACCACCCAGTAAGTAAAATAGTTCCCTTCAGGAAGACAATGTGAGAAAGAGGGCAGCTATGTGGTGCCTAGCCCCCTGTATGGTGACACACAGTAAGTGTTGGGATTCTCTGCCAAATGGTGTCAGATAAAAAAGCATCTTCGTTATTCTGCTACCACGTTTAGAGTACATCGTATTGTTGCCCATAAAGAAGCCTCAGTAAGGTTTATCGTTCTGTTTGTCACGCTGGCCATCTTTCTGATGTTTTGGAAGGTCATGTTGGTTTAGCTTTTTTTTTTTTTTTAGCGGAGGCAGAATTAGCAGAATGGCAGCACACTGCGTCCAATTTACGGCAGTCTCTCCGTGAGGCAGAGCAGATAGAACACGAGCTGAAAGAGAAAATGAAAGAGACCGAGACGAGACTTCAGGAGACCTGTGAGATTGAGGCCCAGCTCCAGGAACAATTGCATGTACAAAAGACGGCGTATGAGACAGGTACGGGAGCCCTCTATAAACCTGCAGTGGAGGAGGTACTTTTCTAGGCCTGGGATTTATGCAGAGATATTCTAGGGGAGCGACAAATCGGGGTACAAGTGTTGTGAGTAATTTTAAATGCACTCTTTGACCTTGCTGTGTGAATGGTGATAGCATTGACTGAATGTCTTCCCTCTCAGAAATGCAACGTAAAGTGAGTGAGGCGGAAGAGAAAATGACACAGCAGCTGGCTCAGATGGAGAAGCATCTACACGAGGCGAGAAGAGAGCACACGAAAGCAGGTAAACTCACTAGAAGACATTATAGAAAAGGGTCGCTGAAACAAGTGTAAGACAATTATGTAAATATATGTTACGCAAAATAATGAACCACATCTCTCTGCACAGGAACCTTTGATTTGGTCTCTGGTTTACATTTCATTTGTTTTGCGGAGGTTCTCACATTAATGCAGAAAGTTTGAGAAAGCACGGATTTTATTTCTCGTTGTTTTTATTACTTTGTTGCATTTTGTTTATTTAATAAACAAACCGTGTCCCCGTAGTGGTTGCTCTCCGTCAATCAGAACGTCAGATGCAGAGAGAGAAAGCTCGGACCCAGGAGACTTTGCACACAATGGAAGAAGCTGCATGTCTGCGGGAAAAACAGCTGAGTCGGCAGCTATGGGAAGCTGAAAGGGACAAAAACCTTATGATTGTATGCTTGTCATTTCTATATACAGTTTATTAGGTCCGAGCAGGCATGGGGGGACCGACAAGTGAAAAAATTAACTCCATTTATATACTGTCTCTAACCATCCCTATAGGCCACGTTGAGACAAGAGGGCTTATTAACCACGTACCAGAAGAACAGGTCGTCTGCTATTAAGTCTATAAGGAATGAAAAGGAACAATCCGGATCAGATTATCAGACTCTAGGACCCAGGCCAGGTCCTTCTTCCAGAGGTCGGTATTTTTATTTTGCTAACTTAGAGCAAAGTACAGGTTTTTTGTTTTTATACTAAATATACAAATCATGAATGTCTGTGTACGTCAATTGTGATCCATGCCACCAAGGAGACGCATCTGAATGAACATTGTATATAGCATAGGTTTCAATAAAGGCCAGAAGTTAGTCACTGGCATAGATCACCCATGGTGGCAATACATGACCTTTGTGTTTTGTTTTTAATTTTATGCCTTTTTTTTTTTTTTTTTTAAACTAAATTGAGTGTCCTTAGATGCTGCTACAAAACGATTTATAATGAATTGTAAAATCCGCCATCTGCCTATCTCTTTAACTAGAATCCATTTCGGCAATGCTGGCCAATCTTCAGAGTCTTGGAGATACACTACTGACTGAGGAAGAGGAGGCAGACGATGAGGAACATGTTAATCCACAGACAAAATAAAGGCTAGTTTTAACATCCACTTAGTGGAGTAGTTGCCACAGTCAGGCAAAAGGAGGCACAAGTCAAGGTCCCCACACAGGACAAAACCTTTAAAACTTTGCAGAGTGCCTTAATGCCTGAGGGAGTGTTTAGACAAAGCCTGGCACTTTTCAGTGACTCAGTACGCATATAGCTTGGCATTTCACCTGATGCTATACCGGGCTGGCAAAGCATGCCTGTATCAGGACATGCTAAAGATAAATGTATGAACTATCACATTTGAGGATCACAAAACATGAAAAATAACTTTTGCTTCTTGTGTTGGCATTTGAAAAACATTCTCCTGTGCCTGACTTGTAGCTGGACACCTCCCAGCCATGCCATTGCTGAGTAAGGAATCCCTGTTTGCACATGAATTCAGTACAGAACTTGTAATAGATGTGAGAATTTTGAGCAGATCAGATCCTCCATCTGTTGCTAGACTGAGATTGTAACGGAGGTGTGGTACTAGCATGTATCTGTAAGTACATGAGGTTTCTAAATGTATTAAGTAATGTCACATGGAATTTACCAGAACTACAAATGTTTATTTTATGTGAAAAATAAATTATTCACAAACTGTTTCTTCTACGTAAACATTAACCTATTTAGTGGAGTTATCGATTGCAGGTAAAACCCCTTCAGTGACTTAGCTGTATCCAGCGCTAATGTCCCTCGGCGCTGGTTCAGGGTCCATCCACGCTCCTCCCCTGCTGACGTCTGAGACCTATTGCGCATGCGTGGCCGGCGGCGATGGGATACCTAATGCGCATGCGCGGAATTAGACCTCCCCATAGGAAAGCATTGAAACATGCTTTCCTATGGAGATTTCAGCGACGCTGGAGGTCCTCACATAGCGTGAGGACGTCCAGCGACACACGAAATGTGTGCTATAAACTCGGAAGTGCCCTCTAGTGGCTGTCTACTAGACAGCCACTAGAGGAGGAGTTAACCCTGCAAGGTAATTATTGCAGTTTATGAAAACTGCAATAATTACACTTGCGGGGTTAAGGGTAGTGGCGGTTGGCAACCAGACCACTCGAATGGGCAGAAGTGGTCTGGGTGCCTGGAGTGTCCCTTTAACTACATATCTGCTAACTTAAAATCTATTTGCCTGATGACTTAAAAAGACAGCCAAGAATGATGTATTTTAGGTTTAAAAAAAACGAAGTTTGGAGGATTGTGGTTTTACAGAATATTATTTCGGACCAATCACACAAGATTGTGTGGATTCCTGGGATTTCCAGTTTTTTAGTGAGCTCTGTTCACTTAAGGCAGGAGATTCTCTTTCTGTTTAGTGGATTCTGGGAAAGATTATTCTACATTACCTCCCCACAGCTGCTAACTGACCATTCTATTCATAAAACTGGCAAATAATATACAAATATCTGGATGGACAGGATAATGTAACTCACAGCTTATCAGAGGGGCCAAAAGCTTTGGCAATGCTCCAGGTTTTGTTCAGCAAACCGTAACCACTACAGTAAGTTGTAATATAATGTTAAAGTGACCCTTTCATGTAAACAAGTGCTGGCATGTTCTTAAGCTTAGGTATAGCTTGAATTTTACAAATTCACAGGTTGTGGTCCAATATAAATTTAAAAACATATATTTCCTTTTGCGACAACCATTTGATCTAACCAATATGAGATACAAATGTAGTAATTTTAACACAGATTAAGTATTTTAAGTCCACTTATTAATGACAATAGGAACATTTCTAAGGCAAAGTACTTTCAGCATGGAAACTAATATATCTACCATGTGCTTCTCCAATCACACTTTGACCCAGATCGGCTCCTGAATTCAGCTAAGCAGCTCTATATGTGGAATGGACAACTGCACAGCTGTAATTGGCCATATTGTAACAAGATACTGGTCAGTTCACTGCCACTTCCTGTGTAAACCCTTTGTTTTTATTATTTTACAGCTCATTGATGTCAGAGTGGGTCAGGGCAGGCTTCCTTGCTAATCCTGTATTGTGTGATCTGTGTATAAATGCATTAAAAGGTGCTTACTGAAGGTCTTGGATACTTGGCGAGCACAACGTAGCATTAATCTGAAAATAACACATTAATAAAACCATTTCTTCAAGGGTTTTTAGCATGTCTAAACCTTCATCTGTCACAGGGTTTTCTCTGTCTGTTTATATAAGTTCTTGGTTGAAGCACGCTCACACAATTCACTAAATAGAAATCTGTGTGCAAAAATAGTTTCAAGGACCATTATAGGCACCCAGACCACTTCAGCTTAATGAAGTGGTCTGGGTGCCAGGTCCCGCTAGGATTAACCCTTTCTTCTATAAACATAGCAGTTTCAGAGAAACTGCTATGTTTATAATAGGGTTAATCCAGCCTCTAGTGGCTGTCTCATTAACAGCCACTAGAGACGCTTCTCACTGTGATTTTCACAGTGAGAAGACGCCAGCGTCCATAGGAAAGCATTGAGAATGCTTTCCTATGGACTGGCTTGTGCCACGCATGCGCATTCAGCCGATGACGAGAGCCCCCCGCCCGGTGCTGGAAAAATACGTAAATTTAACCCCTTCCACCCCCTAGAGCCTGGCGGGAGGGGGGCCCTGAGGGTGGGTGGGACCTAGAGACCTTATAGAGCCAGGAAAACTAGTATGTTTTCCTGGCACTATAGTGGTTCTTTATGGGTTTTTTTCCCCTCCAAAAGCTAGTGTATTAGGCAAAATTTAGCATATTTTAATTTGCTAAAACTAAAACCCTCACTACAATGTGAATTAAAATTTTCAAGCCAAAACAGTCAAACTGAAAACATTGCTTTCTGCAAGTCGCCTATTTTAGCCTAACATTTAAATTCAGAATTTGAATTCTTGACAATGAAATCAATGCCAAAGTCCTAAGGCGTTATTCACGAATGTTCCGGTCAAGATTCTGACAAACGTCAAAAGAAATGAATGACAGACATGACAAAACCAAAATACTGTGTTTATTATATACACAAAAGGGCCCGGTCTATGTACAGATCTACGGTTCGTTGTTTCACACTGAATAATGATTGATATCTCTCAAATCGATAAAGTATCTCCACGGCAAATCACTCTAAGCTGGGTTTTAAAAAGTAATGCACAAGAGAAACAAACAAACAATAAAAATAGGTTTGGCTTAGTAATTCTTTAAAACGTGCCATTTCTGATCATTTTTTTCTCTGTATCTGGTGTTGTTTCAGTGAGATACTACAAAAATAATCCAAAACATTAAGGGTGAATACAGGCACCAGTGTGAAGATCTTGGATTTGATTTGGGATTTAACCATGACTGGCGGCATTCTGAAGCCTTTACTTGATTCATGCCCTGCAGATATCACATCTTAATATATAAGTCTGCATTAGCTAGCAGGGCTGTTAGTACCAGATCTTGCCTATCAATAGACTGTCACGCTCATTGATGCTACATTTCAATTCTACTTCCTGCATGAAGGGAGCAAGAAATGCCACAAATTTCATTTTAATAGGTTTAAAAATCACAAACTCCCAAATCAGGGAGTCAGCAGATTTCATATTTTTATATAATTTTTAATGGACGCGTTGTGTCTCCTACATTCCATCTCGGCATTGTCACTGATATATAAATGTAATGTATTTAGAATTGATCTCTGTTAACTTGATACATAGGGCTGGTAGAGCAGTGCCTAAGCTCCGGTTTTCACTTTGATGACATCACTAAGTGTTATGGGGGGGGGAGGGGGGTTCTTTAATTCATTTTAAGGGGAACCTACAGATTGGAAAGCTAATTTGGGCAGCTTCAACACCTTGTAAGGACAGGATTATTCAATAAACTACAACATTTTGCAAATGACAAAAAGGCAGACATGAGATTATAGTGTAAAATTTTTCAAGATCAGCTATTTCTGACGCAAATTTTCCATTATGATTTAACTGGCAAAAGTTTTCTCACACACTAAACCGATAAACCATACATAATGTATAGAGCTTGAAATTCACAATATGATCTGGCCTGATATGAGAGACCACTCAGATGCATTACCAAGGCATCAATACTTATTGGACATACCTTGATAAAGTGAAATATACGATTTATTAAAACACAACATATTACACGTGCATAATATCTTGTGTTTTTTGCCTATTTAATAAGTTCTCTTGTAACAGATAGCATGTCTCATAAATGCCAATGTCTTAGTTACATATACATTTTACATTCAGTGACATTAGGTGAAGAATAACGGATTTGTTTTTAAATTTGCTTTTACATTGAGTTACAATATTTCCCTGTCACCTGTAGGTTCACGCATGTTTTTCTTATAATATTGCTGCAAACATCAGTTTCTTTCCCAAAATATTATAGAATGTTGTGATTATTTAATTGGCTTGAAATGGAGGATAAATGACAGGGAAAATTTCAAATAAATGGCAAACGCGGCCAAGTTTGGAGAATTTTCTCGTTTTGCTATTCTGACCTGATCTTTGCAATTCCCCACAGCTCCATTTAGTAAATAAGCCCCTATATATTAGAGAGGTGTGCAGGTCTGTGTTCTGGTTGAGACTGCAAAATTCTATCAATTTTTAGCAGATAATCTCAAGGAATGTTATCAGCGTAAAAATTCTACAGGAACTGATCCTAAATTAATATTAAGATAGCTCCTGGCTGATAACTACTGGATAAATGCAACCATACACATTGCTGTAATAATTCTATTCAAATGACAGCAACTTTTAACAAAAATGGCAAACACGCAATGCATAGAAAGCAAATTAAGCCCAACTTTTTGTTGTACATTTTGCCTATAATGCCAATGACTAAGTCCTAAAGATTAATACGTGTATAACAAAAAAAAAAAGATGTAAAAAAAAAGGAAGGAAAACACTTCAGCGTCTTCGTTTAGCTGGTGTGGGAGCTGCATCCTTGGTGCTGTCATTCAATAAGTAAGCTGCTGGATTGGCTTCCTGCTGAAGAATGCCGCTCAGAATGAACTCTGCAGAGGTTATGGGAACAGATGAAGGAACCCCTCTCCATCGGGTGGCATCCTCCTGACACGATACAATCACACATTTCTCCTGGAAAGGAGGAAAGAGACATAGTTGGCCTGTGTTGTGCTATGAGCACAGATTTATTTATTTTTTTGCTATTTGGCTCTTACCTTGTAGGTTCGGGGCAATTTGGGGAGAAAAGTTGCTCCACTGCAGCGGATAATATCCTTCATGTGTTCTGGTTCTGGTTTCACATTAGCTGTGACATGAATCTCATAGCCCTGTAAGGAAAGAAATAGTGATTTATACAGTAAGAAGGTTCACTTCCCTAACCCCAACCACTAACAAACTCTAACCTCCCCCCCAATTCTAACTGTGTACCTTACAAGTCGTGTTAGTGTGATAGTTCAGAAACACCATTGAGATAACAATTAAAGTGTATATTCAGCAGGGATCCATAATTATGAGAAAATCGGACACAGAAGAGAGGGCATTGTTTACAATATACGCTGCCTGGCCAAAAAAATAAAAGTCGCCACCTGGATTTAACGTTTGGTGAAATCAAATCGTAGAAGAACAACAGTAGAACTCAGGGCTATGTTCGATAGTGAAAGTAAGAGCATTTCCACACACACAATGCGAAGGGAACTCAAGGGATTGGGACTGAACAGCTGTGTAGCCTTAAGAAAACCACTAATCAGTGAGGCTAATCAGGAAAAAAAAGTCTTCCATTTGCTAGGGAGCATAAAGATTGGACTCTGGAAGAAGGTCATGTGGTCTGATGAGTCCAGATTTACCCTGTTCCAGAGTGATGGGCGCATCAGGGTAAGAAGAGAGGCAGATGAAGTAATCCACCCATTATGCCTAGTGCCTACTGTACAAGCCTGTGGGGGCAGTGCTATGATCTGGGGTTGCTGCAGTTGGTCAGGTCTAGGTTTAGCAACATTATGTGCCCAAAGAATGAGGTCAGCTGACTACCTGAATATAGTGAATGACAAAGTTATTCCATCAATGTATTCTTTCTTCCCTGATGGCACGACCATATTCCAAGATGACAATGCCAGGATTCATCTGGCTCAAATTGTGAAAGAGTGGTTCAGTGAGCATAAGACATCATTTTCACACATGGATTGGCCACCACAGAGTCCAGACATTAACCCCATTGCGAATCTTTGGGATGTGCTGGAGAAGACTTTGCGCAGTGGTCCGACTCTCCCATCATCAATACAAGATCTTGGTAAAAAATGTATGCAACACTGGGCGGAAATAAATCTTGTGACACTGCAGAAGCTTATCGAAACAATACCACAGCGTACGCGTACCATAATCAAAGCTAAAGGCGGTCCAATGAAATATTAAAATAAATGAAGTGTGTGACTTTTTTTTTGGTGGCAACCTTTTTTTTGGCCAGACATTTTCCATTAGTCTAAATGAATTCTAACCTTGCAGACATCCATTCAATCCTGGCATTACAAACAAACAAACGTCATAGCTCTCTGTGTATGACACACAATGAGAAAACTTACCTCGAATAATGCTTTCCGCTTTGCTTTCTGCAGCGATTTACATAAAACAAAGTTGAAATTTTTCTCCTGCTCTTTATCATTCACCAAAAATCCATCTGGCGAAAGAAAGCACCCACTTTTCTTACACTACAAAGAAGTAAACAGCTGCAATGTATCATATAAAAACAGAAAGTGACCACAGCAATATAACAAAGACAGAAAGCAACCCCTCCTCATACACAGCATGGAGTAAAAGACAGTGCAAAAGGTAAATAGTGCATCGTTGAAAAATGAAGCATCAGTAAACAGCAGTGCAGGGAAGTACATTGATGACGGAGCAGATGGAAATACTAATTTAGGACTAAGATGCACCTTTTCGATCCAGTCCAAAGTGATGATAGGAATTCCCCTAGCCAGAGCACAGAGGAATTTAACAGTTCGCCTAACGCGGTCCGTTACCAAGTGTGTGCAATCAAACACAGAGTCTGCAATGTCTCCGCCCAGACTCCGGATTGTTTCCTCCCCGTCGGAGTCTACAACACCTGTAAACAGAACCTGAGATGGAGATAGTGAAAGCTAAAGATTAGTTGACCTCGGGAACCCAATATGCAGCAGACCAAAGCAACCATCGCATGGTGTCACAACCAAATGAGGCAGTAAGAGTAAATTAGCAGGAAATACGGGAAAGATGGAAGTATATAGTAAAATGGAATTTAAAAAAAAAAAAGAGAGGATACAGGACATCTTAGGAACAGTACACAGGAAACTGAATAAAAATTGGTGAGTTAGAAGTAGATAAAATGTGGTAAGTTAGACTGTGTGCAGTGATACTCTGAAAGGCAGACCTTGGGAGCAGCTAGGTGGTGAGCGATGTAAGGGCTGGAAGATCCTGCTACGGCTGTGGAGCGATTGGTGCGTCTTGGGGTCTGGACCTCGGCTGGGCTGTTTAACACTGCACTTGGCTTTTGACGGCTCCTTCCAGCAGGGGATGGGAGAGGAGTTAACACTTCCTGACACAAGACATTACAGGGGAAAATATGTAAAAATTACATGTAGGACGTTGCTTATCTGGTGTTACAAATTATTACGAAACATGCAATACCATTCAGCAGCCAAATTGTGCTTTGGGAATGCCCCATCCATACACGGAACATTTTGTTTCTCGGTTTATCCTCTCTCTCTAAGCTATCCTAGAATTGTTCATTATGTTAAAGTAAAATTGAAACAGACTGCTGCTTTCCCAACATGTAATACCATTATATGCTAATTTATATACTTTGGAGTGCAGTTTTGGAACCACGTTTTGAATTCTTCACTATGTTAAAGAAATGCCATAAAAGGAGCCAACTAAGCTGCACTCATGTAGATCACTCAAAAATCACAGGTAGGCACTTCAAAACAGGTATAGATAGTGATAGTAAGATCATGCTCACTTACCTTTCCTCTTACACTTTCTTTCTCTGTGTCTTCTTCCTCTGCTGCTGCCAACAATCGTCTAGGCCGGCCTCTTTTCCCTTTTGGATGTGGCGATGTCTTACCCTCTTCATTTTTTTCAAGCTGAGTCCCTTCTTCAGACTTCTTCCTCTTTAACTCCACCTCTCCATCCTTTTGTCGTTGTCCTCTCTTTCTTGTCAGAAGTGGTGTGGTAGCTTGTGGGGATTCGTTGAGGCCCATAGTTGAGGTCCGTGTGCGTCTTGGCGTGTCTCCCTTTAAATTGTCCTCCCGCATTACCAGCTCTTTTTCTTCCTTCATAGTACTAATCCCGATTACTTCTTCCTCGGATGCAATTTTCTCTTTAACATCACTATCTTCATCAGGAGACACTTTCCGCCTTGTTCTCGATGTTGGCTTTCTATACTTGGCTTTAACTTCAGACTCTGTTTGCGCTGCCTCATTCGTTCTACATTTGGGAACCTCTACTGAATTTTTCCCTCCCCTTCGATAAGCTAGTTTACCAGCTAAATCATCTTGCTCTGCAACATTCTCCACGGTCCCGGATTTCTCCTCCTCTAAGTTTTTTCTACCTCTTAAAGAGGTTCGTTTTTTTGGTGCATGTTCTACTTCAGATTTCTCAACTTCTTCTCCTGTTGAATTCTTCCTTGCTCTTCTAGTGTCCGGTTGTCTGCCTGAAACAACATTCTCCACCTCTGAAGCTTCCTTTCTTGAGGCAGTTTTTTCTATTTCTGCTTTTTCTAGCTTTTCAATGCTCTCTTCATTTGATTGTCTGTCTTCCAAATTCTTCCTGGTCCTTCTTGATCTTTGAAGCGGGTCATCCCTCTCAGTTTGTTCAAGTACTGACCCATCTTTTTCAGTTTTTTCCTTGTACTCCTCCTCCTCCTCTTTCGAATTCCTTTTTGTCCTCCTGGAAACTGGTCGGCTATCTGGATCGTTCTGTGAGTTTCCTTTATTTGTCTCTTCTTCTGTTGAATTTTTTTTTGTCCTTCTGGAGTGTGGCCTACCAACAAGTACTTCTTGTGGTTTTCCTGTGTCTTCCTTTTGTCCATGTGCTCCCTCCCTGGTGGGATTTGTTCTTGTACTCCTGCAGACTGGCCTGACTGGTTCTTCCTCTGATTTCCCTGTATCTTCTTTTTGTTCATATGTTCCTTCCCCTGCTGAATTCTTTCTTGTCCTTCTGGAGATTCGTTTACTGACTGGTTCTCCCTCTGATTTTCCTGTATCTTCCTTTTGGTTACTTGTTCCCTCTCCTGCTGAATTCTTTCTTGTTTTCCTGGAGAGTGGTCTATTGACTGTTTTTTCCTCCACGTGTCCTTTGTCTTCTGTAAGTTCTCCTGATTTCTCGCATGTTGAACTCTGTCTTGTTTTCCTGGAGAGTGGTCTGTTGACTGGTTCTTCCTCCACTTGTTCTTTGTCTTCCCTAAGTTCTCTTGATTCCTCGCCTGTTGATTTCTTTCTTGTTCTCCGGGAGGGTGGTCTACGGACTGTTTTTTCCTGTGATATTTCCAGGTCTTCCTTTTGTTTAATTATTTCCTCTCCTGATGAACTCTTTCTTGTTCTTCTGGAGAGTGGTCTATTGACTGGTTCTTCCTCCACTTGTTCTTTGTCTTCCCTAAGTTCTCCTGATTCTTCACCTGTTGATTTCTTTCTTGTTCTCCTGGAGGGTGGTTTACTGACTGTTTTTTCTTGTGATATGTCCAGGTCTTCCTTTTGTTCAATTCTTTCCTCTCCTGATGAACTCTTTCTTGTTCTTCTGGAGAGTGGTCTATTGACTGGTTCTTCCTCCACTTGTTCTTTATCTTCCCTAAGTTCTCTTGATTCCTCGCCTGTTGAATTCTTTCTTGTTTTCCTGAAGAGTGGTCTATTGACTGTTTTTTCCTCTACGTGTTCTTTGTCTTCTGTAAGTTCTCCTGATTTCTCGCCTGTTGAATTCTTTCTTGTTCTCCTGGAGGGTGGCTTACTGACTGTTTTTTCATTGTCTTCCTTTTGTTCACTTCTTTCCTCTCCTGTTGAATTCTTTGTTCTCCTGGAGAGTGGTCTACTGACTGGGACCTCCCCAGACTTTCCTTGGTCTTCCATTTGCTCATTTGTTACCTCCACCATTGGATTCTTTCGTGTCCTCCTGGAGGCTGGTCTACCGATTGGTTCTTCCTCTGATTTTCCTTTGTCTTTCTGTTGTTCACATGTTTCCTCCTCTGCTGACTTTTTTCTTGTCTTTCTGGAAATTGGTCTGCTCACTGGTTCTTCAACCACTTTGCTAGTTATTGGCGTATGTTCATTTGCTTCCACTTCTTCTCTAGTATTCTTAATCTTCTTGGTGGACAGTAATTTCCCAGTTGCCTTTAAGGTCTCTCCTGCAACCTCTTCCTCAATTCTACATGAAGCTTTTAATTTTTCTCTTCCTGGTACTTTGTCTGTGATTACTTCTTCAGACTTTCTTTCCTGCCCAGTTGTAGTATCAACTGAAGCTTCACCTTCTTTCTCCAGTTCTACAGACAAAGTATTCACAGCATGTGACATTTGTGTTATCTTCTTTTCAGAATGACTGCTCTCAACTCTGTCAGAGACTGCAACCGTCTCATCTTTTTCATCTGGCTCTATAATTTGTTCTGTTTTAATAACCTCCTCTGAAGCATTTTTTTTACTGACCACACCATCTTTATGCAGCTTGAAGTCTGTCTCCAGTCTCTGGACTGTGGAACAAACACCATCTCTTCTGTCAGACCCACTGGATTGATTCATACTATTCTCCGACAAATCGGCTTCATTTTTTTCATTTGCAAAAAAATCATTTTCCTTCTTATTGTTTACAGAACACCTTGGTGACTCTTCACGTGTAAAACTAGTAGAAGGACGCTCCACGTTGGCAAGTTCTTTACTTTCCACTTCATCTTTGTTTTCTTTTTTTGCTTCCATTTTTTCCCTTTCATCCTCCTTATCTTGTGATGTCGAAGGCTTAACATCGACATCGATCTTGTTACGGCTTTCATTCATAGTTGATGTGTTATCCTCTTTCTTTTCAGTATTTTGGCTCTTAGTATCTGCTGCTTTCATTATTTCTGCTATACTTTTCCTTTCTTTCTCAAACTCATCTGTAATGGTCATTTCATTTACAATGCCACCAAAAGATTGTTGTAAATCTCCGGCTTCCTGCTCAGTTGACACAAATGATGGGGAAAGATGTAGTGCAATGGATTCTTCTGTATGTTCTTCAACCTTTTCCACCACTGTCTGTGAAAACAGAATATTCAGAAGGAAGTCATGCTGGAATAAAATTGCATACCACCTTCTTTGGAACCCTGGGCATCATTATCCCTAGATTCGAAAGAAGGTGAATCAGTACAAACAACCAGTGGATGCACATCTCACAAATGACAGTCACCCTTACCTCTGCACTATTATAACTTTCTTCCTGTTCCTTATTTTCATGCATTTGTGACTCAGCTGAAATATAAATGGAATAAAATGAACGTCATTGAAACGAAAAAAAAATATCAGTGACCAAATGTGCCAATAATATTAAGATTATCTTGGAGTTTGACCACTCTCCTATCCCAAGGATGTTTGCTTACAATGAAAGCAAGTACTGAGGCTCGTTTTATTTACACATGCATCACATAAATTTTGTGAAAATTATAATTATAAAAAAACAAAAACAAAAAAAACACAGTGAGACAATACAAAAATACACTAGGTCTTTTTTTTGTAATATAGTTAACAGGTGTTCACGATACATACAATTCCTGTGAACCACTGCCGTGAGGACACTTATCTTTGGCACCGAAGCTGGTGCTCAATAACCCTAAAACTCAATTCCTTACGAACACAGAACTCACCTTCAATGAAAATCCGCTGAGTTTTATCAGACACGGTATCTTCCATGGTGGAAGGCACACCAAGGCTGCAAGGCTGTGTGTCATCTCCTGTGGTTGGTCCACTTAAGCCATCAGTAGGAACGTTGAGACTGCTAGGATGAGATGCACTGCTTTCAGGTAGATGCACATTGCACTCTGTAGTTTGGACATGCAAGCTAAAAGCCTGCGTTGCATCCCCATCAGAGTTAAGCCCATCCAAGGTATAAGGTTGTGTGGCCTCTTCAGCTACATCAATTTCATCTCTGCCTTTTGTGTCTTCTTTCAGGTGTGTAACCTTTTCCCATACGACAACAGGCACCACATTTTTCAGGGGTGCTGTGGTAACTATTTCATGAGTCGATTGGGCTGCCAAATACTGAGAGACAGGTTGCGTGTCTTCTTGCGAGATTTCTTTGGGAAACTCTTGAGTGACTCTAGGGGTCTCCGTGCTCTCAGACTCTGTCTCAGTGGTCTCTTGGATAGGCTCTCTATCAAGTGTATCAGTTTCACAGAAATAAGGCTGGGTCTCTGCCACAACATTCTCATCCACCTCTTCTTCAGATGTATTCACTGTGGGAAAGAAAAGGAGTTCAGTTAATACCCTCAATATGCAAAGAGAGAAGAAAAGACTACAAAGGCACTTCTAATCTCTTGCTTATCTGGTGATGGAAGTATTAAATATTCTCAGCTTGAATGACTATTCCATTTATCTAGATTAATCTCAATGAAATGATCTGGGTATAGTGGCTCTGTTTTTCTACCATTTTGGAGATACATTTCAGCGTTAAAACACGCCTCTAGTGGGCGTCATCCTGACAGCCTTTAGGTGGTGCCACCGCTTCCATAACAAAGTCTGACTTGGTTTTTGACTTTCGTCATCTTCACGCAGTGCATGAGAACGTCAAACGTCCTCTGATTTCTCTCATAGGAAGTAATGGATTCAATACTTCTCTATGAGAAGCATTTGATTGGATAAAAAGTTGTCATGCTTAATGGCGATAACAGAGGCAGATCGGGCTGCTGCAACGACAGTGGAGACTAAAGGTAAGTAAAGAATGTTAGGTTACATTTTTATAAAGAAAAGGGGGGGGACTATAGTCCCAAAAAAAAGATTATTTGGTGGACTATAGCTCTCCATGCTAAGCTCCTGCATTATATTAAGTTGATCCATAATGCAAAAAAAAAAAAAAAAAAATTAAATATACATAGAATAACTTTTTATAGACTAAAATATACAACGTGCTAAGAAAACCGCTAGAAAGGTTGGAGAATTTACTTTATAAATATATTTTTGCCTTAGTAGTTGGTTAGCTTCTCCTTAACAAGGTTTGCGTCTGGTTTGAACTAAAAATTTGTCAGTAGCCTTTCCATAATAAATTGCCTTCCATGGTCCTCAAACTATTATGCCGTATGCAATGAGCAATATTGTGATTGGAAAACTTAAATAATATGGCTGACTGAAGGGGGAGGAATTCTAAAGTTGTTGCAATCAGATTAGTAGGGGAAAGTTCTAAATGTGGAGCAATCACCAATGAAAACGAATGTAATATTTCTGCTGATTCCATTTGGTTTCTCTGGGTTTGCAACTTTTAAAAAAATTATTTATTATAAATCTACTTAAATGTGCAGACATACACAATGTGGCAAAAATACTCACAGCGCACAGGTGAGATCTGGGGGCTTCTAACAGGATCTGCAGGACCTGTTTATAAACAAGCAGTAAAAAATTAAACATCAGTAAAAACTATTAGTAACACAACATTACAAAAATAAAATCATCTCAAACCACAAGCAAGTGGTGATCATAAGAAAGCAGTGGTTGAGCCAGGAATCTGTTTTTGGTGAAATAATCCCAACTAGAACACTATTGGCATTATCTTTGAGACATTTGTCCCATTCATTTTACAACTGGAAGCTGTTCATATTTGTGTGTCTGAAAATGACTACTTCGTGGCAGTCTTACAAATGCTGCAATTACTTAGTCTTAACCCTTGGGTCAGCGGTCTTCTTTTAAAGTAGTAGGGAGATGAAAACTTCCACCAAGAGGAGGGAATGCATAACTAGAGAAAGATAAGTATCCCTATCACAGTAAATATGGCAGGCTCTAATAAAGTAAGGATTTGGGGTGGTGGTTGGTGTATTTTTAGAAAGTAACTGAATAACGGCACAGAGGCAATGCTCTTGGAGATTACTGCTAGAACGTAAAATTGTAAAGTATTTGAGGACTTTCTTTGGATGTATAATGGTTTTACTGGCCAGTTGTACTTGTCAGATATTTTTCAACCTTAGCCATAACAGACCTGACAGTGTTGTGTGGGTTTAGCAACGCTTACGTTTAAATGGATCTGGTTCGACCAAGGTGGAACTGATAAAGGCTTGTGTAGGTTCTTCTGCGTAGTTAACGTCATCATCATCTGGAAAGAGAGGAAAATAATATATGTGAGAAACTTGTTTGTGGGATTGTAACAAAGGCGAAATTGTAGATATATATAAAATATATAATTTAAACAAACAGTACCTGGAAATTCTAAGCATCTTTCTTCTGGTTCTAGGTAACACTGGGTTTCACACATGTAGTAATCTGTACCTGCAATGTATTTATTTTAATGTAATTTCTAAATTGTTCACTGTCAGTAGAAGTAAAATGGAAAATACGTAACATACCTTCAGGTTCTGGTTTATTGTCTTTTGTTGCAATGGTCAAGTCTACACTGCCTGGTGCATCTTCTGTTTCCTTTTTCTGTTCTTCACCCACCATACTAGTCTCTGTAGCCTGGCACGGTCCAGCCGTGTCCTTCTCTGTGCCTATTTGGAGGCCTCTCTCAGGCTCTTCATGAGCACCACAACCGCTACTTTGGTCACCTTTGGATCTGAATGCTTGGGATACAGTGTTGTCATCTTTTACATCTGTATCCATGCGTAATTCAGCAGTTCCACTGCCCACCTCATCTGGATTTTTTTCTTTTTCAAGGTTGATAGCTGGGCTGGTGTTCTGATTAAGAACATCTGCATTACTTGGCTCTTGATCAGTTTCTGAAGGAAAGTTCTTGCCATGGTATTCGGTTTGGACTCTGAGTTCCACACTCTTCTCATTATCAGCAATAGAGGATTTAGTCAACTGATCTTCATCAGATTCCTCCACGTCTGTATCACTATCCATGTGGAATCCAAGCACTGCTTCTTTATCAACATTTGTCTTGGAGCTTTCTCTATCATCTACAGTAATCTGCACAGGAGAGGTAGTCTTTTCTGTCTTCTCTGTGTCAGCAGAAGGACTTTTATCAGACTTCTTCACATCCATGGAATTAATGGAGTCATCCTCTATATCTGTATCACTGTCAAGGTTGAATTCAACATGTTGCTTCTTTGTATCCACCTTCAAAATGTCATCATTTCCTTCAACATCAGTATCACTGTCCTCACTGGTTTCTGCTTTTTTGTCTTTCATATCATCTTCTACATTCTTGTTGCTCTCTGCATCTGTATCACTGTCGCTGATGATTCCTGTAGTCTTCCTCATTTTGTTATTACCAGCACAGACAGATGTGCTTTCGTCTTCTTCAACATCTGTACCACTGTCGCTGATGATTCCTGTGGTCTTCCTCAACTTTTTACCAGCACTGACAGATGTGCTTTCGTCTTGTTCTTCAACATCTGTATCACTGTCGCTGATGATTCCTGTGGTCTTCCTCAACTTTTTAACATCACTGACAGATGTGCGGTCATCTTCTTCAACATCTGTATCACTGTCACTGATGACTCCTGTGGTCTTCCTCATCTTTTTACCATCACTGACAGATGTGCGGTGGTCTTCTTCAACATCTGTATCACTGTCACTGATGATTCCTGTGGTCTTCCTCATCTTTTTACAAGCACTGACAGATATGCTGTCTTCTTTCTCAACATCTGTATCAATGTCACTCTGGATTACGCTGGTCTCGCGCTCTTTAACACCTGCACCGACGGATGTGCGGTCTTCTTTTTTGGCATCTGTTTTACTCTCCAAATTAAGCGTGGACTCCACTTTCTCCTCCACAGAATTCTTTGAGGCACGGTCATTGTCTTCTACAGTGCTTGTGCTTTGCTTAACTTCTAGTGTCTTCTCTGATGGGAGATTTGTTGCTGACGATGCAGCATGGTCAGCAACATCTGTATCGCTACGCAAGTCAAATCTTGGTTTTGTGTTCACATCTACAGACAAATCATCTGCCTGCTCCTCATCATCCGAGTCACTGTGTAGAACAATCCCTGCAGACTTCCTGTTTTCGGTTTCTTTATTTGAAGTTGTGACATCATCATTAATATCCACGTTGCTTTTTAATGTAATTCCAGATGTTTCTTTCTGGTTTTCCACTGGATGCAAAGCCTCATCAAGTTCAGCTTTATCACTGTTCATGTTTGTACCTGATGGTCCTGTGCCCTTTTCATAACCTGCACCTTCATGTCCAAAAGCTGGGTTGCCAATAATTGGGGCAGAGTCTGGTCCATGTTCTCTCCGAGTACTGTCTTTGATGTAAGAAGCATCTTCTTTGGTCTTCACAGTCAAAGAATCGCCAACGTATTTTTCACCATCAAATAGTTTCATGTGAACGCCAGCTGGAGCAGACATGCTGGTTTTGTCTTCACTCGATGGCCCAGGATCTGTAGTTAGTGAAGTCTTCTTTTCGGTTAGAGCTGGAGAGGTGACAAAGCTCTGAGTCGAGGGGACAAATGACTCTCTCCTCGTGGGTGTCTCATGAATGCTTGCATCACTGTCACAGTGAAGATTGAGTGCAGGAAATCGACATGGAGAGATCGAGGTGTCATTTTCCTCATCACTAAAGAAAAAAAAAAACACAAACAAAATTATTTTTTTATACGGAAAGTGCTAGTGTAGCTATTGTGCAGATAGTGCTAGTGTTAAAGGGTCATCAGGTAGAGCAAAAAAAAAAAAAAAAAAAAAGTTACAATTAATAATAAATAAATTAAACTGAACATTTCTCTTAGTCTGCTATAAGAACAACTTGCCCATTTTAATCTAAATTCAATAAATCTGGTTTTCAAATCACCTGAGTTCACAGCTTAGTAAATAAGCCTCAGTGTGCTATAATCAACACAATTCAACGTTGCATAAGGTTTTGTGTGAATCAGAATTACCTCTCAGGAACAAAAGTGTCTGTAGTGGGAGACAGGAAAGTCCCAGTTGTTGATGCCTTGTTATCATTGTGGAATGGGCCAAATCCTGAAATAAAGGAACATTAGATAAGCTCAAGGAAGCTCTTTAGGCTGGCAATCTGTGACCACACTAACTGTACACCGAACCACCCTTACAAAATGTAGAGATGTCCCAGTTTATGTGTAAGCTTCTCACAGTTCTATCTGAAAAAGTTAACTTTTTCCATCTCACCTTAAAGTAGAAGTGATTTAATTTAGTTTACTCTATAAAAGTAGTTTACTGTATTGATAAAACCATAACTAAAAAGATGGGAACTGTTAGCCGAATGTGAGCCATCTATAGACCATTAGAATCAAAATATAAGGCATTTCAGAATCAGAACCGACACAATTACCATACCAGCCCCACGACACCCCCACCAATCCCATCCCACAGTAAAAACGGTTTGTCCTACCTTTCCTTTCTTCACTTAGCCCTCTCCTGTTCTCCTCTTCATTCTCCTCTTCATCCCCAGAATCTCTTGCCAATATTGCCCCTCGCCCCATCCTGCGTATAGCCACTCCTGGGGTCTTTTCAATTACCAGGGTAGCCTGTGTTCCGGGCACCAAAAGAGAATCGTCTTCAGTTTCATCAAGTACCGCTTGCTGTTCAGCTTTCTGTATCTTCTCTAATTCTTTGTTTATGCTATACCGGCAAGCCACGTCCGCAAAGAGCACAAAGTCACCGTGGGATAAGGCATAGCGTACATTAGGAGAGAGGGGAGCCTTCCCTCGACGAGTTTTATTCATACTACCACAGTCACAGATGGTGTGACAATCTGCCTGGACCTCTAAAATTGCATGTTTCTTGGATACAGACTGCGCAGGGAGGGTTATATCACAACTGGCGTGGCGACCAATAATATTCTGCCCGGGGTAAATGGCATAGTCTGGAAATAAAAAAAAATATATACACACACACAAAAGATGTAAAACTGGAATGCATTAAACAAAAAGTTAAGATTGCATAAAATAACATTATCAATGTAGGAAGAAGTGCGTCTCTGATAACATAAGGTGGTCAAAGAATGGAGTGCCTTTAACCCCTTAAGGACACATGACATGTGTGACATGTCATGATTCCCTTTTATTCCAGAAGTTTGGTCCTTAAGGGGTTAAAGTTGCGAGTGAGCTGAATTATATTACAATCAAATCATAGAAGATTTTTTTCCTTAAATGAGAAACACAGGATTAATCAGTGTACATTTCAGAGACTACCACTGGTATCAGCCCACTGGATAAAAAGAGCTGGAGAAGCAAAGAACGTGCAGCGGTCATCAAGATTACCGACATGCCACCGAGGAAAAATGTGGAGGAGGTCTGATAAAAGGGAGATGCAAATAATTATTTGAAAAAAAGTCAGAGAGAAACAAAGAATGCTGTGTAGATAAACCACAGACTGATACAAAGAGCTGGATCACGAGAATCACAAACAGAGGACTAGAGATAGAGAAAGACGTTGGATGATAAGATCAGTAAGAACAGAATAACACATAACAGGTGTTACGCTACGTACTACTGCCCTCCCATTTGGTTTCTTGTTCCTATTCCTGGTTCTCTCTTTTTTTGTTTTTTTTCCCCCAGTCTATTCGCAGTCACACTGAAATCCTCTGTAGAAGGTTTTGACAGATTTACCTACTAATGTTACATTGGCAGAGTCAGAGCTCCCCCCCGCCTAGCAGGCTACGTCCTGAGCCCCCCCCTAGCAGGCCCGTCCTGAACTCCCCGCCTAGCAGGCCACATCCTGAACTACCCCCTGCCTGGCAGGCCACATCCCTGAGCTCCCAGCAGGCCGCCCTGAGCTCCCAGCCTAGCAGGCCGCCCTGAACTCCCCCCCTAGCAGGCCCCCTGAGCTCCCGCCCTGGCAGGCCACGCCCCGTGTCTGAACTCCGCCTAGCAGGCCACGGGCCCTAGCACGTCCTGAACTCCCCCTAGCAGGCCACGCCCTGAACTCCCCGCCCTAGCAGCCGTCCTGACACTCCCCGCCCGGCCTGGGCCTAGCGGCGTCCTGAACTCCCCGCCTAGCAGGCCACGCCCTGAACTCCCCCTAGCAGGCCACGTCCCCCCGCCCAGCAGGCCACGTCTGCAGCCCTGAACTCCCCGCCCTAGCAGGCCGTCCTGAACTCCCCCTAGCAGGCCCGCCCTGGTCCTCCCCGCCTAGCAGGCCACGTCCTGATCTCCCCCCCCCTGCCTAGCTCAAAGCTTCTGCTGTATGGTCTTTGTATTTAATATGCATCGTTCCCTTCCTCTGGCAGGAAACATACAAGAAACGATGTGCTATTTATGGCAGTGAGGACAAACTTCTTGTGGATCTTGTCTAGGATCCCCGTATTCATGTTCCTGTTCTCTTGTTCATGCTAGGTTTCAATCCCAGGTACCCTTCTTTTTTGGTTCCTACAAAGATACATCACTTTTCAAGTCCTCTTGTTTAATATACCCACATGAGGAATTGCCAACAAATAGCCCACTACAGCTGATGTAGAAGTTAAGGTTGGCAAAACATCTAGGAGTTATTGTTCCACAACAGCTGGGGGGGCTACCTACGGGTCACTGCTAACCTTCAGGGTTCACAATGTAACCATCTAAGATTCTAATCAATGATGGAAGGAGCTTTGTCCTGTAGCTGGGTCCTGCTACAAGACTACTTACGTCGGGTCCACAAGACTGGAGGTAACTTAAATAACTAAAAATGACATCATGTCGATCTGCAGTCTTTATGGCCCACGCAGCAGCTGCTTGGTTATCACACACTGATAGCACAGGTAGGTTAATCATTAATTAATGTACAATAGCAACCATGCAAAACAGGACATATTCCTCATATCAAGCTGTTACAGGAGAGTCAAGGATGTTTACTACTGCAGCAGGCTAGAGAAACGTGTCTTAACCCTTTAAGTGAAGGTGTTTTAAGTGCTGCCAAGTATTTATGAAAAGAGAACTGAGGGCATTACAGCTATGTTCTCACGTCACACATTGTTCTTTTCAAAGTAAGGAAGAGATTTATCAAGGCAAAAACAGGGGTTATTCTGGGGCAAAGAGCTAAAGTAGAAATAGACTGTCTCAACATTTAGCATTATGCACCAAAAAAGCACTTTTTTATATACCTGATTAATTATCCCCTTAGATATTGTAAAGATTACTACTTAATTAACAGTGGATTTTTCTTAAATAAATATAAAACAAAAAATATATATAATATTTTTTTGCCTGCAACCTTAAACAAAGTTAATGCAGAAGATAATAAAATATACTCCAATATGAATTTGCACGCCTCATATTTTAACTAATTTATTGCTCTTATTTTATGGAGTACATTTTAGAAGTGTTTAGGAAGATCATCCATTTTTTTGATCTAGTTTACGTTCACATATTGCAAAGAGAGCATCATGGTTTATATGCTACAACTTTTATAAAACGAATACTCAATTTGGCGTTTATTTTGTGTAAATAATAGCAACAAAAGTAGATTATTTGGAATTTATTGTGGCATGATACCTGCATACTGCTGCTACAACAATTTGTGATTATTTGGATCAACGGAAAAGAAACAAAAAGTGGAGCAGTATTGTTTAAATTATGGAAATTGAAATACATGCTTACAAAATCAAGCGAGTTGCAGCAAAATGGAGAAAATATAAAAATAATATCGCTGTGTGTTTATATGAATATACTATTTGTCTCCATATATACCATGGTGATGGGACTCGGTAGGAATGAGTATAGCGGTCACACTCACCTTGTGCCGGTCCATATGTTCCCTGGAACATGTGCAAGTTGGCCACAGGTTTCTCCCTGTCCAAGCTGACATCTTCCTCATCATCATCCGATATCAGTCGCTGAGTCTGATCCATTCTGAGAAATATATACTTAAATTACAATATAGTTTTGCCACTCAGAGGTTAAAGAGTTGAACACTATGAAAATAAATTATTATGCAGGCCACAATAACCAAAGCAGAAGGATCCATCCCCTCTGCTGTTTTACCAGGCTAGCTATGGTTGTCGTACACTGTTCTTTCCTTTCGAGTTTTTAAATATTCTATTTTTCTGTACTGGTGTGTGATATGTAATTCATGGTTTCGTGCAGATTACACAACGTGACATTAGCACAGGGCCTTTGGCATATTATAGGACACATTATACATTGTAGATGATAAACTTTTTTTAAAGTTTATCTTTTAGTTTTAAAACAAATTGCAAATGTCATTCACAAATATCTTCCTAAAATCTGTTTAGCAAAAAGCAATACTGCTCTCATATTATAAAATCTGGTCATTTTTGGCTAAATGCTGGACAGTGGATTTCGGCCACTCTGACCTAGAAGGTGCTGTAAACTTTAGTTCGGACAAGTGCTCATTATCTTAATATATTCTTTTTTAAGAGATGTTATGGAAACCCTACTGGGCATGATAGATAGAGATATATATATATATATATATATATATATTTTATAAATCACACCCCAGCTTTGTATCTTCTTAAGATTCACATAACGCCATACATGGATACAAGGATTTCCATAAGTAATGCCAGGCTCACATGAGAGCCAGGATAATATATACTCAGAATTCCACCTACACCAGGGGAGTACAGGAAAGAACTCCTTGTTACAGAACTCCCAGCATGCTTTGTCACAGTTGTGTCTGGTGAAGCACCATGGCATTTGTAGCAGTTAGTACATAGCGCAGAGAGACAGCCAGACCCACTATAGAACTATAACTCCCAGCATGCTTTGCCATAGTTGTGCTGGATAAGCACCATGGGAGTTGTACTTCTGTTTAGTCCCAGCAGTTAGTACATAGCACAGTGTGAGCCTGCTAGACCTGCTATAGAACTACAACTCCCAGCATGCTTTGCCATAGTTGTGTCTGGTGAAGCACCATGGGAGTTGTAGTTCTGTTTAGTCCCAGTTAGTACATAGCGCAGTGTGAGCCAGCCAGACCCGCTATAGAACTACAACTCCCAGCATTCTTTGCCATAGTTGTGTCTGGTGGAGCACCATGGGAGTTGTAGTTCTGTTTAGTCCCAGTTAGTAAATAGCTCAGTGTGAGCCAGCCAGACCCGCTATAGAACTACAACTCGCAGCATGCTTTGCCATAGCTGTGCCTGGTGAAGCACCATGGGAGTTGTAGTTCTGTTTAGTCCCAGTTAGTACATAGCGCAGTGTGAGCCAGCCAGACCCGCTATAGAACTACAACTCCCAGCATGCTTTGCCATAGCTGTGCCTGGTGAAGCACCATGGGAGTTGTAGTTCTGTTCAGTCCCAGTTAGTACATAGCGCAGTGTGAGCCAGCCAGACCCGCTATAGAACTACAACTCCCAGCATGCTTTGCCATAGCTGTGCCTGGTGAAGCACCATGGGAGTTGTAGTTCTGTTTAGTCCCAGTTAGTACATAGCTCAGTGTAAGCCAGCCAGACCCGCTATAGAACTACAACTCCCAGCATGCTTTGCCATAGCTGTGCCTGGTGAAGCACCATGGGAGTTGTAGTTCTGTTCAGTCCCAGTTAGTACATAGCTCAGTGTGAGCCAGCCAGACCCGCTATAGAACTACAACTCCCAGCATGCTTTGCCATAGCTGTGTCTGGTGAAGCACCATGGGAGTTGTAGTTCTGTTTAGTCCCAGTTAGTACATAGCGCAGTGTGAGCCAGCCAGACCGCTATAGAACTACAACTCCCAGCATGCTTTGCCATAGCTGTGCCTGGTGAAGCACCATGGGAGTTGTAGTTCTGTTCAGTCCCAGTTAGTACATAGCGCAGTGTGAGCCAGCCAGACTCGCTATAGAACTACAACTCCCAGCATGCTTTGCCATAGCTGTGCCTGGTGAAGCACCATGGGAGTTGTAGTTCTGTTTAGTCCCAGTTAGTACATAGCTCAGTGTGAGCCAGCCAGACCCGCTATAGAACTACAACTCCCAGCATGCTTTGCCATAGCTGTGCCTGGTGAAGCACCATGGGAGTTGTAGTTCTCAGTCCCAGTTAGTACATAGCGCAGTGTGAGCCAACCAGACCCGCTATAGAACTACAACTCCCAGCATGCTTTGCCATAGCTGTGCCTGGTGAAGCACCATGGGAGTTGTAGTTCTGTTTAGTCCCAGTTAGTACATAGCTCAGTGTAAGCCAGCCAGACCCGCTATAGAACTACAACTCCCAGCATGCTTTGCCATAGCTGTGCCTGGTGAAGCACCATGGGAGTTGTAGTTCTGTTCAGTCCCAGTTAGTACATAGCTCAGTGTAAGCCAGCCAGACCCGCTATAGAACTACAACTCCCAGCATGCTTTGCCATAGCTGTGCCTGGTGAAGCACCATGGGAGTTGTAGTTCTGTTCAGTCCCAGTTAGTACATAGCGCAGTGTGAGCCAGCCAGACCAGCTATAGAACTACAACTCCCAGCATGCTTTGCCATAGCTGTGCCTGGTGAAGCACCATGGGAGTTGTAGTTCTGTTCAGTCCCAGTTAGTACATAGCTCAGTGTAAGCCAGCCAGACCCGCTATAGAACTACAACTCCCAGCATGCTTTGCCATAGCTGTGCCTGGTGAAGCACCATGGGAGTTGTAGTTCTGTTCAGTCCCAGTTAGTACATAGCTCAGTGTGAGCCAGCCAGACCCGCTATAGAACTACAACTCCCAGCATGCTTTGCCATAGCTGTGCCTGGTGAAGCACCATGGGAGTTGTAGTTCTGTTCAGTCCCAGTTAGTACATAGCTCAGTGTAAGCCAGCCAGACCCGCTATAGAACTACAACTCCCAGCATGCTTTGCCATAGCTGTGCCTGGTGAAGCACCATGGGAGTTGTAGTTCTGTTCAGTCCCAGTTAGTACATAGCTCAGTGTGAGCCAGCCAGACCCGCTATAGAACTACAACTCCCAGCATGCTTTGCCATAGCTGTGCCTGGTGAAGCACCATGGGAGTTGTAGTTCTGTTCAGTCCCAGTTAGTACATAGCGCAGTGTGAGCCAGCCAGACCAGCTATAGAACTACAACTCCCAGCATGCTTTGCCATAGCTGTGTCTGGTGAAGCACCATGGGAGTTGTAGTTCTGTTCAGTCCCAGTTAGTACATAGCTCAGTGTAAGCCAGCCAGACCCGCTATAGAACTACAACTCCCAGCATGCTTTGCCATAGCTGTGCCTGGTGAAGCACCATGGGAGTTGTAGTTCTGTTTAGTCCCAGTTAGTACATAGCTCAGTGTAAGCCAGCCAGACCCGCTATAGAACTACAACTCCCAGCATGCTTTGCCATAGCTGTGCCTGGTGAAGCACCATGGGAGTTGTAGTTCTGTTCAGTCCCAGATAGTACATAGCTCAGTGTAAGCCAGCCAGACCCGCTATAGAACTACAACTCCCAGCATGCTTTGCCATAGCTGTGCCTGGTGAAGCACCATGGGAGTTGTAGTTCTGTTCAGTCCCAGTTAGTACATAGCGCAGTGTGAGCCAGCCAGACCAGCTATAGAACTACAACTCCCAGCATGCTTTGCCATAGCTGTGCCTGGTGAAGCACCATGGGAGTTGTAGTTCTGTTCAGTCCCAGTTAGTACATAGCGCAGTGTGAGCCAGCCAGACTCGCTATAGAACTACAACTCCCAGCATGCTTTGCCATAGCTGTGTCTGGTGAAGCACCATGGGAGTTGTAGTTCTGTTTAGTCCCAGTTAGTACATAGCTCAGTGTGAGTCAGCCAGACCCGCTATAGAACTACAACTCCCAGCATGCTTTGCCATAGCTGTGCCTGGTGAAGCACCATGGGAGTTGTAGTTCTGTTTAGTCCCAGTTAGTACATAGCTCAGTGTGAGCCAGCCAGACCCGCTATAGAACTACAACTCCCAGCATGCTTTGCCATAGCTGTGCCTGGTGAAGCACCATGGGAGTTGTAGTTCTGTTTAGTCCCAGTTAGTACATAGCTCAGTGTGAGCCAGCCAGACCCGCTATAGAACTACAACTCCCAGCATGCTTTGCCATAGCTGTGCCTGGTGAAGCACCATGGGAGTTGTAGTTCTGTTCAGTCCCAGTTAGTACATAGCTCAGTGTAAGCCAGCCAGACCCGCTATAGAACTACAACTCCCAGCATGCTTTGCCATAGCTGTGCCTGGTGAAGCACCATGGGAGTTGTAGTTCTGTTTAGTCCCAGTTAGTACATAGCTCAGTGTAAGCCAGCCAGACCCGCTATAGAACTACAACTCCCAGCATGCTCTTTTGCCACATAGCTGTGCCTGGGTGAAGCACCATGGGAGTTGCACCTGTTCAGTCCCAGTACTCAGTGTAAGCCAGCCAGAGCCAAGAACTGCTACAAGCAACTCCCAGCATGCTTTGCCATAGCTGTGCCTGGTGAAGCACCATGGGAGTTGTAGTTCTGTTCAGTCCCAGTTAGTACATAGCGCAGTGTGAGCCAGCCAGACCAGCTATAGAACTACAACTCCCAGCATGCTTTGCCATAGCTGTGCCTGGTGAAGCACCATGGGAGTTGTAGTTCTGTTCAGTCCCAGTTAGTACATAGCGCAGTGTGAGCCAGCCAGACCAGCTATAGAACTACAACTCCCAGCATGCTTTGCCATAGCTGTGCCTGGTGAAGCACCATG